GCCAACACCAATGCCAACACCAATGCCAACACCAATGCCAACACCAATGCCAACACTAGCACCAAATGTACTTCTTGAAAATAAATGTTCTCATCAACAGTATGACTGGAAGGGCAACAAAAACACAATGAACTTATTTGCATATGAATATGAGAGGAAGAAATGAAAACTGCATGGTTCATATATATATACAATTAATTTGCAAGTTCTGTTTTTCAACTCAGTTTACCAAACACTGTTGTTGCAAATTGTTTCTGTGGTTTAACCATGTTTATGACCTGATARATTTCAAAGTCAACCAACAAAGAAGACACAAAAGTCTATGCTAGTAGTGCAGGGAAACATATGTTAAACATACTTCAACAAGTTGTGTGAGGAAGACAGTGAGCGCAATGTTGCAATGTGCAAACAAGGAGTTCATGCTTTGATGSGAGCTGTCACTTTAAGCACAAAGCCATGCATTTTTCTGGTCCCATGGGAAGCTATCTCCTTTGAAACAATGGGTGTCACTTCCCTTCTTTTTCTCATGAATTTGAATTTCTTGATCTTCATTGTTTTGAGAGAGAGAAAGAATTGAGGAATTTGTTTTGGATTCCAATACAGTTCAAAACAAATGCATTGCATTTTTTAAACCTCATGTTGCAAATYATTATTTGTGCAGGCCAGGCAAACATGAAGATGATTCTGTCACTTGCTTTTTCTCTAGCTTCACCACAACAAAAGGAATCAAATCAAAGAAGAAAAAAGAAACAATGGATTKGTCAACTCCATACCCTGCCAAAAAATCAMTTGAAAATTTCCAAACATGAGAAACCAGTGATTCTGTTGGGAAAAAAATTATTTCCAAATAGCAAAAACTCCTTGAGAGGCATCATCCCCATTGATGGWAACATCAATCATCTAAACAATACTGATCACCAAATTCAAGCCAGATTCAAAATATTTCAAAATAGTGGGAAATTGAAACTGAGCCATCAAAAACTACAGAAGAATRCCCAATATTGCTGGAGCAGCTTGAATTCAGATAGACCAAAAGGTGCTCTAGAATAAGTTACAAAGAAACTTTGAAGAAAGGAGGGAACTGCTGTCAAACTAGTACAGGCAAGTTTTTTGACAATATGGACATGATATATGGTAGAGGTGAGATTCAGTTCACAGACAGATTCAATGAGCTACAAATGGACAGTTCAGTTGTCATAAATCAAGGTTCCCACAAGTGTGGAAGAACACTGCTGAAAACACCCACAGTCACACCAGATTCAAATGTAATTGCTCTTCAGAACTCAAGTTCAGGTAACTTGGTTTTGTCTGCAGATGACATCCTATCTTGACCAAAATAAAAAACCAATTAGTTTCAAAGAAGTGTTTTGTAGTATTAATATCAACTAGTACACAAGATTTTTGATGTTATCGCCCATCACGAGACTAATCTTTCAAAAACTATGAAAAACTTCACATTTACTGGAAGCTTGGAAAATATCAGACACTATGCTAAGTTCTTGAATTTCAAAAGGACAGATTCTGAAAAATCTCCATATCCACCTAAACAATCAAGAAAAAGAGATTCCATAGGAAGATTCATTAGTAATTGCTGCAACAAATACATAGAAGATCTCAAGGCAACCATGAGCAACAAAGAGCAGTTCATCTGTTTTCTATAGGGGCTAGTGGTACTTGGAAATTTATTCTGTTTGACATGATTAGTAGTACTAAYGTAAGATGCTTTGCAGAGAATTGGGAGTGAATCTTTCCAACAGAACCCTGGCTGTCACATACATGACATAAACAGCAGCAGTTAACACCAATGGGAAAACAACATACAAACCTTGCCGTCTTTATTGTAACAGATCTAATGTTACTACACAGAATGATGCATGGAAAAATGAGACTTGCCTACTCATTGTTGACAATATATCATTTGCTAAGATCAAACAAATTCAATGATCTACCAACTGTCTCTGTAGGTGATTTTAATCAACTCAACAACAAGCCAGTGGGAGGAGACTCCCTACTATCAATAAAAGATAGAAAAACAAACATATTTCTTGAACTTAAATAAATCAAAGGTTAAAAGATGATCCAATCTGGGGAGAGCTTGGTGGCTTGAGAGAAGAGTAGCTACTAGTAGTAGCGTATGTTCAAATCATTAATGCAAGAATTGTAAAACCTTGGGACAAACTCCCAGAAGACATTTCTTATGCAACATAAAGCATTGCAAACATATGTGCAATAAATGATGGCATATTTTCTGAGCTTCTCAAAACAACACATTCAAAAAATATAAATTGGAGATTACCAGATCACAACATTGTAATCCAGCCCTCAAACTTGTTAGAACTGCAGATAGACAAAAAAGAAAATGCAGAGACATGCCAGAATTTCAGATATACTGCTTATTGCTAATTACTACCACAACAAMTCTTCCAAAAGGATAGATCCAATGGTGCTTAAATTGTATGTTGGTGGTAGACCTGTCATTATCGTCAATGACATCATAGGAGAGGATGTTGAAAAGTAAAAAAATGGATAAATGTCGTGTACTGCATTCAAATCTGTCAAACTGAAAAATGGGTMCCAAGCAAGATTGTGTAAATATCACCAACATTGATGGATTTCATGTTCAATGTGTAGATTCTGAGAAAGCTGAATGGATGGAGGTAGTACTAGTCCTTGAAGAAAGAGACTCAAAAAAAGAGATCACCTTAACTCCTCACTCAAAACATTGCAGCAACAGCAAAATTTTGATGTTCACAAGAATATGAATCAAGAATTACTACCCATCAAACTCAAACAAGTTCCAAGGGAAAATGTTTAACTCAAYTCCCAATAAATGTTGCTAATACAAGAACTGTTCAYAAATTATAGGGAAGATCTTTGGAAAATGTGTTGGTTTCAACTTGGTCTTCCACAAGCAATTGGATTTATGTTGTGCTTTYACCAATGGTGGTGCTGGTCTGTTTGCAAGAAGAACACCTCTTCTGCTTACAAAAAAGAACAACAACACCAACAAAAACAATACCCAGCAGCATACACAAAAAATCAATTATCTCCATTCCTATCTAAAAAAMAACAAGAAAYAAGAACCACAGTACTTTCATTGAATAGCTTCTAGTACTACATTCTTTTCAGAAGAGCATGACTTCCACCTTGCTGGCACTAACTTAGTTTTTGCACCATAGAAACTATTTGTGTTAGCGAGCCAATTTCAGTCTTCCTAGTAGTTTTGCTGTTCTTGTTCAAGGCCCCACACCACCATGATTTTGAAAAAATGCTAAACAAATGATTTATTGTAACACATCTACTAGTAAACAGTAAACCAGTACTACATGTTGCAAATCAATTGAAACTAATTTCACAGGCAGGGCATTCCCAATCTTAATTTAACATTCCAAATGTTAGCAGCGTAGGCTATGGCATAGAAATGAGTACTGTGGTTTTTGCTTCTTCAATTTAATGTCCTGAATGCGCTAGTACTTGACAGTCTGAAAGTTAGCACTGAAGGCATCCCCTTCTTCCTCTTTTTTAGATCCTCCCTTCTTCCTTTTTTAGGCATGTACAAGACTGAATGAAGAATATTGTTARTAGGCCTATGTGATACAGTAAATTTAACATTTTGTACGTTAAATAAACATTGGAAACTTTCCAACATTTAGGATGTTAAGGTAAGATTGGGAATGGCCTGTGAAACGTACAAGTTTAACTTGAGTAAAAAACAGCTAAAATTAATGCAYGATTTTGGGCCAACCACTAGTAGTAGTGTAACTTTGGCAGAATAGTTTTAAGCCACCAGAGCATCCTCCTTAAGGTTCTCAATGACACCATGGATCTCTAGTAAATAATTGTATCAACTTGGACTGGGCGCTTAGTCTGGGTGTCTAAAGTTGGTTTTTGATAAAGACCTGGCCTTTTTTCTAACCAGCAGTSGGTCTTGTAAACMAGCMAATTTTGGCCATACCTGGTGTTAGTGGAGAATCGTCCCCCCTCACCCCCCCCTGGCCCCTAATCGTGTAACAATGAGGACCTATTCCCAACACTATTAGTAGGAAACTTTTCCCCAAAGAACAGCTGCTCTCAGGCCATACTGGAGCAGTTCCTCTAAACGTCCTATTACACTGTTTGCGGTCAAAAAGTGACCAAAAACTAGTAGACCTATGTATGATCAGTACTAAAATACTGGGCCCAAAATTAACCATGATGCTACTACTTGTAATAATTTTTGGTGTTCGAGTAGAATGCCTTTTTGACGTRGCATTTTACTCCGATTAAACTCGTAGTTTCAATTGATCCGCAACGCGTACCGTAGTAGAAATTAAGTTTCAGTAAAGTTTCGGCTGGTACGCGTACGAGTAAGTTAGGTACGAGTACTATTATGGTTCCGTACGTACGTACCGGSACTCGAAATTCTAAATTTCTCCTCGTTTTCAAATTTTCTTCTGCTCAGATACTTTTTGTTTTTGTGAGGTGACGTAACAAGAGATTTGAAAATTCAAATCGATATCCTCTTCGTGCCGAATCTTTACATCCTATTTTTCAACATCGTCTGAAACAGACAAGTTGAAACAGGAGCCGTAACAATCATAAAAGGAAGGGGATAACCCGAGACGCCAAATACTTCAAAATGATGGYAGCTTTCAAATACGCAACCATTCAGATGGTTTTATTACTCGCAATTGCTGGAACGAGAGTGGTCACATATGCAGAGATCAATTCACCCATTGGCACATTGCCTGCCATGTCATACAATCAGCAATCGAAACAAACAGAAAATCTCMCGATCACCCCATTCGTGAGTCAAGACCAGAACATCATTAAAAAGGCAAGAACAATCCCTTTTCTGCGCGGACCACAGCTTCTAGAGACGGTTTTATCCATCCGGGGTGGCAAAATAGTGAAAAAGTCATTACGGCCATCGGTATCCAATTCTATCGCYTCGTCGGAGCAGAAACTTGCTAAAATTAAGAAAGGAATGCTCTTGACATCAATATCAATCATCATCTATGGATTGTTTCGTACGCAGGAGACATGGCTTGCCTTGTTCGATAAGGAAAAACTGCAGGCTTCGGTTGTACAAACGCTWGAAAATTTGAACGATCTCCCCTTTCTGTATTCGCGTTCTTTCTATACCATAGCTATGGCATTATGGGAGACGTTGGGTATGTCTACAATTCCGGTAGAAACTGCAGCAGGAATGGTCTTCGGACGGTCCGCATTTTACTGGAGCGGGCTCGGGAAAGTTATGGGCGCATGTTTAGCATTTGGATTGGGACGTGGCGCCTTGTCCGGAATGGTGGACGCTAAATTGTCGTCGAACACGTTTTTGAATTTGGTACAAAGCCAAACAAAGGATAACCCTTTGTTAGTGACAGTTCTTATCAAACTAAGCTGCTTTCCAGAAACCGTGAAGAACTTTGGTTCTTCCATGCTGAAACCAATCCAGTGGTGGATGTTTGTTTCGGCAACCCTCGTCCATGGATTGACTTTCACGGCACTTTGGACATATCTGGGAGTCGATACGGCAGCACGACTGAAGGATACAGCAGGTTTGTTGCCACCAGATCAGCTATTGAAAACGTTACTATCACTAGCACTCATCAATGGAATTGYTGTATCGCCACTAGCAATGGCGTATTGGATTCGGGCTTTGAAGCAAAAGCAACAAACGAGTCAAAAATCGACCAAGAAAATCAAAAAGTAGTAYACTATGGAATCCAATGCAACGAAATAAGCAAATAGCACAATACAATAGACCATTGTTACTAGTACGTACTTCTAGTTCAGAATGAATACAACTACAATCACCAAGAGTTTTGAATAAATTGCATCCATTGAAGAGTCCAGAATATTGAAAGCAACGCATACCAAAAAACTTATGCACATCTGATGAAATAGAGCCAAAATAAATAGCAGTCATGACATTCCTTCTTTTTCAATTGACAAGAGATTTCTGATGTAACAATGCTACACGCCGTACCGATAACCCCTGACTCGTTATCTATGAGGGTATGAATGCATAGACAATCAAAGAATTTCCGAATCACTGTGGATTTGATCAAATCATCCGAGTCAGTCATCCCACCCATTCAACCGATGGGAGCGCGTCAAAAAGAAAGGGCTATTATGTATTCAATCTGTGTGACAACTTCTTTTACTCTGTACCTRTTACGAGACGTAACGTATGTCACTACTTCGRTAGTAGGATTAAAACTTGGTGTATAGTCCTAAAAACACATTTTTCCAACGCGCGACCTCTATTAGCGCGATTTTATCATACTCGCTCATTGTGACCTTCCCACGCGCGATTTTGGTTCGCGCATATTGACTATCAGCATGGTACTCGCTGATTGTGKCTCCATMMTCGCTTTTTCATTTGTTAGCGATAGATCCAATCCAAGTCGCCTCCACAATTTAAAACTTCAGAACTGCATCCACTAATCTGGACAACATAAAAAGATTCCGAATTGCAACCAAGGATTACTCTGAAACGCCGAAGAAATAAAAATGGCTCCTCAATCCCAAAGTACGATGTTAGATTCCTTCTTTGGATCGAAGAGTAACATCCTGTGTTCAAATGGTGGGGGTCTCGGCGGGGTAGATCACGGACAGTACCACTGCTATCAATCGTCGATGGCGGCGATACCGTCGATGCCATCCATGCCATCCATTCCTTCGTGTTCGAAAGAAAACGGCGGTGATCACCGAAATGCGGTTCGTCACAGCAAACATTATAAGCAACCCCAGCTTATAAATTCAACGATTCCATCGTGCACACCAAAATACGTACCGCAACGACAAAATACGCCACCAATCAAAAAGAAAAAGAATCACACAAAACGCGTGACCTTYATCACGCAGGAAAAGATACGGGAAATTCCGAGTCTGAGCTCATATACCAGAGGAGAAATCGATTCTCTTTATTTGAGCAGAGACGAAATGAATCGAAGCCACGAAGAATGTTGGCGGTTGGTGGATTTGATGAATACTGGGATCGAATACGAAGATCACGAACAATTCAGCAAACGCGGACTCATCGACCTAAAGGACGACTCCGTAGATCGACGACGAAAAATGAGGGATCAAACCTATCAAATTGTGCTTGGAGTTCAGCAATTCCATAGAGACAACAAAAGAGCACAAGCTACCATGGATGTTGTCGAAGTAACCGCTAACTTGTATCGCAAGGCCTCAGTACAGGCAAAAGAGGAAGCTCTCGAGGCGGCGTGGTTTGATGCCGTTGCAGTGAGAGTMTAATAAACCTCGATGGGAAATAGATGATAAAACTGGGATACCAAGATAAATGCTACCTCACTGTAAATTATGTAAAATAGAAAATCAGAAGAGTGATWMTCATTACGAARCCATWAGATRSACATGTCTAGCTTTACACTACGAGGGACAACTTAAGCCAAAAGTTTGAGCCCGAGAAACGAACCCTTTTCCTTTCATGATCGGGAAACCATTGCACTCTCCGCAACTTCACAGTTCATGCCCCTTGCGAAGACTGTAGACAGATTCTGTGTCCYGAGGTGTAAAACTGCCTCGCTGTACCCATGAATGACTCTAGTTTTGTAGTCCAGTCAGGTACTTTTTAAGTTCGTCCATGTCCTCAGGCGATCCTAAGAAACATGGCGATTTTTGGTGGATTCGTTCCGGGCATTTGTTCAATAAATCGTCTCCCGCTTCGTCCATGGCCTTGCCTCCTCTAAAATCCGTGMCAACGAGGAAAAAACGAAAGACCRCARACCAGAACGATAATGAGGAAAAGAAACGAACAAATCTTAAAACCAGACCACCCAAGGCACAGGGTTCGTTGACGATTGCCGGTGCTGCAGACCCACGGCGACCTTTYTTGGATACCAAATGGTACAAAACTTACGCATGGTGCATGACAAAGGCAAGGGGTGCACTCTTGTACAGCAGTTGCAAATTGCCCTGCGGCTTGTGCAATTGATTGGATGGATAGGCAAAGACCCCCCCGTACAGCAGGGTGCGGTGTATGTCGCCCACCATGCTACCGACGTAACGCAGGGCGTATCGCTCCCGCGTTTCTCCCTCTCCCAGCTTGAGGTTCTTGAGGTATTCCTTCCAGCTGTCCGGCCATCCTTCACTGTTTGCTTCGTTGCAGCTATAGACATTTCCCCTTCTTGGTATTGTCAGTTTGTCGTGTGTCAGGACGAATTCTTGAATCTGGGGATCCAAGGTGAATCCATAAACGGATGAACCCAGAGTGAATACAAGAACAGTGGCAGAACTGTACAAACAATATCCGGCTGCTCGCATGTTTCGACCCGGTTGAAGGACCGCCTCCAACAGGGCGTCTTCGTCCGTTTCTATGTTCTCGTCGACACTTTTTGCTTTTTCAAACACCCCAAACACCGTCCCGGTGCAAATGCTGGCATCGGCATTGCCGGAACCATCTAGAGGATCCAAGCAAGCAATGTTGTCCTGGTCGTAAGCAACCAAGACACCCGGTTGGTGCTGACCGGGCTGCTCCGCAATCTCCTTGGCCTCGGGCACGATCATCTGCACAGTTCCCGTAAACTTCAGGGCGTTCTTCAACACCGTCGTGGAGAGTTTGTCGAGGCGTTTCATCGAATAATACCGTCCATCGCTTTTGTAATCCGGCTCGTTGATGGATCCCTCGCTGGTGCCGTCGTTGTTGCTGTGCTGGATGCTGTATACCAAACCGGCGCGATTCACCAGATTGGAGATGGTCTTGCATGCCATCTGGACAGCCAGCAGAATGTTTTCTAGATCTCGTAGCTGAGAATGGGTTGTTGTATTGTGTTTCATCGGTATTGTGTTGGTGTTGTGTGTTTTAGGTGGAAAGTTTAGATTTCGTCCGCGACAACATTAGTATTGTGAGATTGTGAATTGTTACAATGTAGTGTTCGTATGAGTTGATTGCGGTGAAGCAATATTTTCAAATGGTGAAGTCAAACAATATATAAAAGAAAGAAAACAATTGGGCAAGCAAAACACAAGGTRTCGCTGGCATCCTTCTTTTCGACTCTGTCGTCAATAATTCAACGCATGGCAGCATCAGCAGTGGCTCTTTTCTCACCTCCGGGTGGTCCTTGACATACTCTGACAAAAACCTGGACAATGTGATTCGAGACTGCGACACCGAGCTTCCTCCCTGGGCACTTTGCTCGGCGGGAACATAGTATTTCGAATCGTAGTCGGACATATACAGAGAGGAGGAGGACGAGGACGACATAGCTGTCGGAATTTCGTTGCGGAGTGGATCGGTGGTGGCAGCGGCAGCGGMAGCATGTCCCCTGCTGCGCAACGACAGCGTCTCGGCCGTAAAGCACGTCACCACAACAATGTTGCAGACCATCACCATCGCGAAAAGAGTCGATGCGGTTGCAATCAAGAGCCCGTGGTTGCAACGGTTGCGATCGTTCTTCCTCGTTCGAATCATAGTGAACGGACTGTTAGACGGCGTGTCGTGTTGGTGTTGCTGCTACTGCTGTTAAGGATCACTGGAGTTAGTTTCGCACAAAGCTAGCGAGGAATGGTGCACCGATCGTGTTTGTGTAGTAGGGATGGTGCGGGTGCCTTCGATGATCTCGAGTTGAATATGACAAGTATCATCGATGARCAGACAACAACCAAACGTAGAGATGAGAAAAATTGAAAAAATGTTCGTACGTACATTACGTAGTGYTTGTACTACCAATCGATCGTACTAGTTGTCAGCCGATGATGTTTTTGGAGCTATGCTCTTCAGTTCGTACGGTTCGTAGGATTGTGTACTGGTACGTACTAGCACAAGTAACTTGTCTCTGACGGTGATGTTTGTGGTTTCATGCAACGGGGAACGGGGACTTGAACTTGAAAAGTCTCAAGGTACGATCATACCTGYCTAGGTATGATCATACCTAATAAGGTATGATCATACCGGCCTGGGTATGATSATACATCATACCCTGATAGATATGATCATACGTGTCAGGGTATGATCATACCCTGATGGATATGATCATACCCTGATGGATATGATCATACCTGTCAGGGTATGATCATACTCTGATGGATACGATCATACCTGTCAGGGTATGATCATACTCTGATGGATACGATCATACCTGTCAGGGTATGATCATACCCTGATAGATATGATCATACCTGTCAGGGTATGATCATACTCTGATGGATACGATCATACCTGTCAGGGTATGATCATACTCTGATGGATACGATCATACGTGTCAGGGTATGATCATACCCTGATAGATATGATCATACGTGTCAGGGTATGATCATACCCTGATGGATATGATCATACCTGTCAGGGTATGATCATACCCTGATNTCAGGGTATGATCATACCTACACTCATTCACGCATTCGACGAAAGATCCGAGAGGTCCGAAAAATGATTTTTCCACATCAATTCTCTCTCACCCCACAAAAATTCGTTTCGCAAGAGGTCTAGATATGTCTACCGGGACACTGTACGTACCGCACATCTGCTCTTCGTTCGATGGAAGAACTGAATCGTACGGCACAACTTCGTGCAAAGCTACAATTTACAATTTCAACACATCAGAGATACGAACGCTCGTACCGGTAATATTACACTGAACACTCTTAGCGTTCGGAGACGATCGTCAGCAAAGAATTCACTCTTGTCTCCGGTGGAATCCACCCATCCTTCGTTTCCATCGCATTCGGAAGAGCCCACACAATTTGCATYGTGCTGAGCGAGAATCTTGCAAGAAAGGTCGTAAGGTAAAAAATCTCAGCGAGTGCGATAGGATATTCTTTCCGTGCTACCCTCGCTTACTTATTAACTTGAATCTCGCGAGAGGAAATACAATASAACAGGCAACAATCTACTCAGAGCCATCGTTTTTTGGCCTAACCGTCTCGTCTTCTCCGCCCAACCAAAGCTCTACAAACCGCAGCAGAGCCTTTCGAATATAAACCATGTCGAACGAACCACAAGGCGAAACGACCGCAGCAAAGGGCGACGGAAAATTCCATTTCGCCATCGATCGCGGCGGAACGTTCACGGATGTCGTGTGCCGACTACCCGAGGGCCACGAGGTCGTCTTCAAGCTGCTGAGCGAGGATCCGTCCCAYTACCTGGACGCCCCGACGGAGGGCATCCGCCGGCTACTGGAAGAACACGACTCTCCGGYCAGCGGCATTGGCTACCCCCGTGGCGAGCCGGTRAACACCTCGCGCATCGGGAGCATCCGCATGGGGACCACCGTGGCCACCAACGCCCTCCTSGAGCGTGAGGGGGCGCGAATGGCCCTCGTTACCACCRAGGGCTTTGGAGATTTGCTGGAAATCGGCAACCAGGCCCGCCCCGAYATTTTCGACCTGTCATGCAAGACGCCGAGCCTGCTCTACGAGGAAGTAGTGGAAGTCAAAGAACGGRTTCTGCTKCARAAGTTCTGCAGCGAGGAACTGCTCGAAGACCCGGAATCGCCCCTGAAGGAMTTSCCCAGGAAGGTWGGTATCACCAAAGAAGAGGTCCTCGTCGAACGAGTTCCCGATCTGGATGCCGTCCGAGCCGAGCTCGAGCGGCTGCGCGGGATCGGCATCACGTCGCTGGCCATTGCGCTGATGCACGCCTACACGTTCCCCGACCACGAGCTGATGATTGGRGATCTCGCACAAGAGATGGGCTGCTTCGAACAAATCTCGATGAGCCACAAGGTCATGTCCATGGTCAAGATGGTTCCCCGGGGTCACACGACGTCGGCGGCGGCGTACCTGACGCCGAAAATCACGGCCTACCTCGGAAACTTCCAGAGGGGATTCGACGAGGGCCTCTCGAGCGTTCCCCTGCAGTTTATGAAATCCGACGGAGGATTGGCTCCGGTCAACGACTTTGGTGGGCACCAAGCAATTCTGAGCGGGCCGGCGGGGGGAGTCGTGGGATACGCCAAGACCACCTTCAATCCGTCCACGAAAACGCCCGTGATTGGATTCGATATGGGGGGCACGAGCACCGACGTGTCACGGTTCGATGGGCATCTCGAGCACGTCTTCGAGACGGTCACCGCCGGTGTCGCCATCCAAGCGTAAGTACGACGGTCATCCGAATGRAACGAGACAATACCAGATACCCATAACACACAACGCYTTTCCGGTCTTCTCTGAGACGATGTAATGCGTGAAACGTAATGGTATCCGCAGCTTTTTGACTAACCGAATTTTCTGTCTAATTTGTTGCGCCACACTGCGATCAGTCCACAATTGGATATTCACACKGTAGCCGCCGGTGGAGGATCTCGGCTCTTTCTTCGACGAGGAATGTTTGTCGTGGGTCCAGAAAGTGCCGGGGCTCATCCAGGGCCCGTTTGTTACCGGAAGAACGGACATCTGGCTGTGACAGACGCAAACCTGGTCCTCGGTCGTGTCATCCCGGGACAGTTTCCAAATATTTTCGGTCCTAACGAGGACCAGCCACTCGACAGCGATGGTGCCCACGCAGCATTCGAAGAATTGGAGAGGCTACCGGAGGCTAAGGGTAGAAAGGCGGCCGAGCTGGCGTGGGGATTTTTGCAGGTCGCCAACGAAGCGATGTGCCGTCCGATCCGAAACCTCACCCAGATGAGAGGTTTCGACATCACCACCCACGTGCTAGCTTGTTTCGGGGGCGCAGGTCCCCAGCACGCCTGCGCAATGGCAAAGGCACTGGGAATGTCCGAGGTGTTTGTCCATAGATACGGTGGTGTGCTGAGTGCCTACGGCCTTTTGCTGGCAGATGCCGTGCACGAAGAGCAGGAACCCGCCGCCGAGACGTACAACGGTGGTGTTTCTGCGAACGGGGAGGAACGCTTGGCCCATCTAAAGCGTGCATCGATCGAAGCTCTCAAGAAACAGGGATACAGCGATTCGAGCATCGTAGTCGAAGAGTACTTGAATATGCGATATCAGGGCACMGATAACGCCATCATGATTCTYCGAAGTCCGGATTCTTCGTTTGAAGAATCCTTCGTATCTTTGTATCGAAGAGAATTCGGATTTGTGTTGCAAAACAGAGATATTCTTATTGACGATTACCGTGTCCGAGCTGTTGTTCCCGGAGAAACCTTATCAACGCCAGCTGCACCGCCACCCCTMGGTGTTCCTACGGCTAGCCTTGGGACAACCAAAGCGTACTTTGAGACAGGATGGCACGAAGTACCGGTCTACAAAATCGACGACTTGAAACCTGGACACAATGTTCCGGGGCCAAGCATCATCGTRCAGCCTATCTCTACCGTAGTGCTGGAGGTTGGGTGTGAAGCGTTTGTGACCCTGGACGGTGATTTGAAAATCGAGATTGGCAAACAGGACGAAAAAGCGTCCATGGCCGACGGGTCGATTTCAGAAGTTGTCGAGGATCCCGTAAAATTGTCGATTTTTTCCCACCGATTCATGGGCATTGCCGAGCAAATGGGCAGAACCCTGCAACGAACTGCGATTTCTGTAAACATGAAGGAACGATTGGATTTTTCGTGCGCTCTTTTCACAAAGGATGGCGGATTAGTAGCCAATGCACCTCACATTCCGGTGCACCTTGGGGCAATGCAAGAAGCAGTTCGATACCAAGTGAAGCACTGGTCCGAAAGAGAAGGAATTCAAGAAGGAGATGTTCTCATCTCGAATCATCCACAGTTGGCAGGTGGGTCTCACTTGCCGGATATCACGGCTATTACTCCAGTCTTCTTCGATGGTAAGATAATATTTTTCGTCGCTAGCCGTGGCCACCACGCCGATATCGGAGGAATCGCTCCCGGCTCCATGCCTCCCCATTCAAAGGCACTCGAAGACGAAGGAGCTTGTATCGTTGCCTTCAAACTCGTGAAGGGTGGAGAATTCCAGGAAGAAGGCGTTACCGAGATACTCAATGCTCCGGGAAAAATTCCCGGGAACTCCGGAACACGCAATCTGCGTGACAATCTKTCGGATTTGCGCGCACAGGTTGCTGCGAACAACTCCGGAATCCGTCTATTGAAGGAGCTCGTAGARGAAAATGGATTGCAYGTCGTGGACGCGTACATGAAATTTATCCAAACGAATGCAGAACAAACCGTGCGGCTGATGCTGAAGGAGTTTGCTGCAAAAAAAGGCACGAAGGTTTGCGCCGTCGACCACATGGACGATGGATCTCCTATCAAACTTACCATCGAGATCAACCCCGAAACGGGGGATGCATTGTTCGATTTCACGGGCACGGGTCCGCAGGTTCTTGCAAACCACAACGCACCACCAGCGGTTGCATACAGCGCTGTCATTTATTCGCTTCGTTGCTTGGTTGCGCAGACCATTCCTCTGAATCAAGGCTGCTTGGCTCCGATTACCTTCGTTATTCCAGAAAATTCYTTGTTGAATCCATCGGCWGATGCCGGYGTCGTTGGTGGAAATGTCCTCACTTCTCAAAGGGTGGTCGATGTCGTCCTCAAAGCGTTTTCGGCTTGTGCAGCTAGCCAAGGGTGTATGAACAACCTGACCTTTGGAGACGACCAGTTTGGTTACTACGAAACAATTGCTGGCGGAGCTGGAGCTGGCCCTACATGGGAAGGCCGATCAGGGATTCATACTCATTGCACAAATACTCGAGTAAGTTGCAACCAGGCATCAATACCTTTTTTCGGMAATGACCCAGTACAGCTCGCCCGTACACAACGGAATTCTCACTAGTATTTTATTATCCACTTTTCGCGCCTTGTTTATGAACTGAGCAGATCACTGATCCCGAGATTCTCGAGCGTCGATACCCAATTGTGCTTCGGGAATTTTCCATTCGCGAAGGAAGCGGTGGAACGGGCAAACACAAAGGTGGTGATGGCGTGATCCGTGAGATGGAACCACTTCGTCCTCTGACTGTTAGTATCCTCAGTGAGAGACGTGTCCTACAAGTAAGTACCTCTATAAGATAGCAATGTGCAATGTAAGCGTCACCCGTTTTCTTGTTTCGCTGTTTGAASCAGAGCGATTGCGTCTCAATTGTTCTGTTWTCGATTACTTAGCCGTATGGAATGGACGGTGGTGGACCAGGACAGTGCGGCAGAAATCTCCTTCTTCGAAAAAATGGCGTAGCAGTGAATATTGGTGGTAGGTGCAGCACGAGTTGGAAGGTTGGCGAACGGCTTCGTCTCGAGACGCCAGGTGCTGGTGGTTTCGGATCGGAAGAATAACACGGCATGGTGCTTTTTTTTTGCGTTGTTTTAAGTCCGAGCACCGTTGAAAGCTATAAATGCGTTGAAACGTAACGTAGCATCTGCAGTCTCGACCACTAGCAATCGTACTATTGAAGTTACAATTAAACGATGAAATCTTACTAGGCTGATGTAAAAATTGACTATTTCATTATTTGTCTATTGTGATCATCGACGAAAACCGATCTAATCCGACACACAAATTCCAATTCACTCGAATTCAGCTTCACTAACGGAATCATCATCAACATCTGACAAGAAATCGTTTGAATCTCTTGCAACAGYAATACGGTTCAATGAGGCGGCYGCTGCAGCCCTGYGGGGACGAACGTTCCTCGTACTCTTCACGATTTCGAGCTCGCTGGATCCCGAATCGTCCGAGTCTTCTATCAACTCTATCACTTCGTTTTGTTCGCCCTTTGACAATTTCTTTCCCTTCGGTTTGGCTCCCCTCGCGGTGTCTCTGCGAGTCGATGCCGTGGTTGTTTTCTTTGTCGTTTTCTTAGTTGTCTTCTTTGCGGTGGATTTCTTTGCAGCAGCCTTCTTGGTGGTTGCCCTCTTTTTGGTCTTGGCGGCCGCCTTCTTTTTCGAGCTTGGCACCAAGGCTTTCGAAACCCGCCTTCGTTTCGAGGCATTGGACTCGACCCAGCCATCTTTGTCCATCGCGGGGGTGTTTGCGTTCGACTTCCTTTTTTTGTTCGCGGGTTTTGGGAGGGCCAATATCATGCACGCTTTGTCGGATACAAGAAACATCGTACTAGATTCAGTGCACTGAAGATAAACGACGGTGCTGTGGTTCGTAGGAAAGCGAGTCAGCAGGAGTTCACAGATTAGTTTTGGTTGTCTAGTGAGTCAATATTACTATGGACTCCGTGTTTGATTCACTTACGAATATTTTGTAAATCGATATTTGGGCTCGATCATGCCGTTGGTCCAGAGACCTATGATAAGTCGCTCGCAGTCKTCTCTCGTAAGGTCTTTTCCCGGAGGATTGTTCTTAACACTAGACAAGCGCAAAAACAAACCGTGTGAGTAAAAGGAAGAGATGAAATAATATCAAGAAGTGGAGAGCTGAAACATCTGCAAAATCAACGCACCATGYCACGGCTGTAGAAGGAGCCTTCCGCCATTCCGTCACTAGCATGTTCATCGTCATTCTCTTGTTTTGAAAAGTCATCAGAAGCTCCAAGAAAGTAATCGCGTGGGGCGTGACGTTGCGCTTTTCGACTTCATCACTGACTCCCTTGTGTTTTTCTAGGTCTTGGTTTGGTTCGCCCATTTGTCGTAAAATCRTAGCCCGGCATGCTTCGTCGTCGCCAAACTTCGGACACGTTCACGAGGAAACAAAAGTGCAAGAGAACTGAGTTTTGTGTTKTACGAGATTSAGAACGCYAGTGGATCCATCACCTGGACAAAATAATCACGGTGTTGTATTGGAACGTACGTTCGAGGCATATCTCACCATGGTGAGGAACAAATCTTCTGTGGAATCGCCGTGAATCATGCTCAACATTCTCGGTACATCCTTCGGGGAATAGTACAATACACAATCGGCTGGATTGCCATCTCGACCTGCCCGTCCCGATTCCTGATAATACGATTCGAGGGTTTTGCTCAGTGTGTGATGGAGTACGAATCGAACGTCTCTGCACGGCGCAAGTGATAGAAGCGGTTAGCACATCGAAAGAATGTTSGAAAGGAAAAGCGCACCAAAGAAAAACACGCAAGAGAGCTCACTCACGGTTTGTTGATGCCCAATCCAAAGGCAATCGTGGCGACGACCACCTGTGTCCGGTTTGCCATCCAGCTTTTGTGAACAGCCTTTTTGCGAACGGGGGTCACGCTGGAACGAGGCATGGCAAAAATCATTGAGGAACACGGAAACGCACAAATTTTGGGGGTACGAGAATGAATCGATGCCCGCTCGCATTGGCAGAGAGACCACAAAAMAGAATACGTACTCGCTGTGATAGGACTCGGCAACAATGCCGTGGTCACACAATTCGGAGGCAACGGTGTCGGCATCCTTCCGCGAATACGTGTAAACGATACCCGCCGATCCGGGAGGCTTGTTCTTGATGAAATCCACCATGTCCTCGATGACATTGGCTTCCTTTGGCCGTACTTGGTAGCTAAGATTCGGCCTGTTCGCTGTGGACCGAAAGAAGTCGTAGTCCCTCGACAACTGAAAAATCTTGACACACTCGTCCCTTACCTGTTTCGACGCCGTAGCCGTGACGGCCATGATGGGAATGCGCGGGAAATGTTCCCGTAGCACTTTCAGTTTAGCATAGTCTGGCCTAAAATCGTGTCCCCACTATCGACAGGATTCCAAACAATCAAAAGGAGGATGCGAATGCGAATGCGAACACGAATGCGAATGAAAATTAGAAAGGATTTGGTAGTGTGGATTGTGGGTACATTTACGGTTCCGGCTCGGGCAATCCAGCACAAGCACCGTTGTGCACCACACAAACAACAACAGTACGTACCTGGCAGGCGCAGTGGCACTCGTCGATGACGAACCTTCCCAGCCGGTTTTGGTCGTCCAGCTTTTGCAGCTCGGACCGGAGTTTTCCGCTCTGGAAGACGCGCTCGGGGGTGACCAGCACCATGACGACCCCCCCGGCGGCGTCGCGGACCCGGTTCCAGTTCTCCGTGTGCTGGGCCGTGCCCATCCCCGAGGTAAAGCTGACGCAGGAGTTTCGAACAAAGCCGTTCATCTGGTCCTCCTGGTCCTGGATGAGGCTCAGGAGGGGGGACACCACGATGGTGACCCTTGGGCTCTCYAGGACGGCCGGGAGCTGGTAGAGMAGGCTCTTGCCGCCGCCGGTCTTCATCAGCACGAAGGTGTCCTTCCCGCTCAGCGTCGATCGTATGATTTCGAACTGGTTTTCCCGAAAGTTTTGCAACCGAAAGGATTGCCTCAGGGTCTGGTGGATGTCGTGCGACGAGTACTGACAGGACCCCGAGGCTGCCGCGGCGGGTGTCGAGGCATATTGATTGTATTGTTGGTTTTGATTGCTGCCATGGTTGTTGCTGCTGTTGCGTTGAAAAGACGGTATCAGAAAGTTGTCGAGCGTCCCCATCGACGATTTCCGTTTCTGGTGGGCTGCAGCTGCTGGTGCTGGTACTGGTACTGGTACTGGTTCGGGAGCGTGTGCTGGCTCCACCGGATACCTGCTCTCCTCCACGTATCGATCGTCGCCACTGTCGTAATAATAGTCTTCGATGTCCTCCTCCTCCCGGCGACGCTGTTGCTGTTCGTGCTGGGGACCGGAATCGGAGACGGAAACGAAGGCGGAAGACGCCGCGCTGGTTCTCGTCCCGTCGCTGCTCGCTCCCTGCGYTGGTTCCGCCTGGGTCCACGTGAGGGGATCGGTCAGTTGTTCGTCGTCTCGTATCTGCGTGAAGGACTGGGTGGGTTCCGTGAGGACCTCGTCGGGATTCATGGTCAGCGGCGGTGGAGACTCKGTGGCCGCCGGACCCGATGCGTCACCGGGTTCCGATTTCACGGGCACCGGCACGGGAGAATGATTGGGCGCTTCGTTGGAACTTGCGCTTGCGCTTGCGTTCGTGATCCGCGAGAGCCTCCGAAGTTCTCGTGCTTCTTCCAGCGCCTCGATTTCGTCGTCCAGCTCGCTCAGTTCGTCGTTCATTGCCTTCATGCGCTCGATGATCTTCTTCTTTTCCTCGAACAARTGGCACATGGTTTCTCGTTTCGCGTCCCTCACCTTGAGAAGCTGGGACAGGGATTTCGGTTTCGGTTTCGGTTTCGATGGGTTCCCACCGGCGGGAGGAGAAGCCGGCGCTTCTCGCGRCTGCCCGTTCGACGCCATTTCGTCTTCGCTTCCTTATCGACCGGGTGGGATGCCCTTGTAATGTTTGATAGCGCAGCGACCCCCTCTTTCCCCCTGGACAGAAGCGYGATCCGTGTTCTGTGGTTTCCAACTCGGGCGTTCCGTTTGCGCTACGGACACGGCWGTCCCATGTTTTCATGGAATTGTGTGTCGACCTTTTTGTTTCCCACCGACGGCGGGCAAATTTTTTTGTAAAAAAATGATTTTTTTTTTCAAAAAAATCGGGCGTGACGAAACGAAAAATGGGCGCACGACCCACGCACAGGAAATCATTCATATCTATTTTACATAAAATAGATATGAATAATAATAGAAGTCTGTTGCATTCTTTGAGGACGTACCAGGTACGGTACGGTACTACGAGGTCCGATTACCATACACACGGTACCGTAGAATAGTGCATCTCTGTGAGAGAAGTGACTTCAAAGTCAAATGAGTCGATTACTGTAAGTCATTACTGTATCATCTCTCGAAAAAACCAAACCACCCATTGTGTCTGCCTGTTTTCCGTATGGCGCGCGGGTGTTTGCTTGGTGTGAAACGGATAAAAAAATGCTCTCCAAAAAATTTGGGAACGGCATTGCCTCTGCTTGGCTCTTTTTGCGTCTCTCTCCAAACATCTTGTTTGGCCTCCAACAATCGTTTTTGAATCGGGGTGCAAAAACAAAACACACACAATACATACCGTACCGTACACTCTGTGCTCGTAATCGTCCTCGGATAACAGCATTGTGCCGACTCCCCACTGCCGAAATAGAAAAACCAGAAGCACGCAACAAATAGATACACATCACATCCACCCTGCAGCAAGCCCGTCCACGAGACCGAACACAGACGCTGTAATAAATCAAAACACAAAAGAGAAAGCACAAAAGACAAAAGACAAACAACCATGTCCCAGATCCGCGACGTCAACCCCAATGCCGAGATCGTCTCGAGAGTCCAGGCCCGCGCCGTGAACGTCGCCGCCGGGGTTGGCCTGCTGAACGTTCTGAAATCCAACCTCGGGCCCCGCGGGACCCTCAAGCTCCTGGTCGGGGGGGCGGGSCAGCTCAAGCTCACAAAGGACGGCCTGGTCCTGCTGAAGGAGATGCAGATCCAGCACCCCACCGCGGTGCTGATCGCCCGGACCGCCACGGCGCAGGACGACATCACCGGGGACGGGACCACCTCGACGGTGCTCCTGTGCGGAGAGCTCCTCCGGCAGGCCGATCGGCACGTCTCGGAGGGCGTGCACCCGCGGATCGTCGTGGAGGGGCTCGAAAAAGCCAGAGAAGCCGCCCTGGAATACCTGAACGAGATCAAAACGAGCTTCGAGGCCGAGGCCATGATCCAGGACCGGGATCTCATGACGAGCATCGCCTTTACCTCGCTTGCCACCAAACTCGACAACGACTCCAGCCTCAAGCTCAGCGAGGCCCTCGTCAGCTCGGTCCAGTGCATCTACGCCGGAAAGGACTCCCCCATCGACCTCAGCCGCATCGAGATCATGCCCATGCCGAGATCGACCAACGACTCGAGGTTCGTCAACGGGATCGTCCTGGACCACGGGGCCCGCCACCCCGACATGCCCGACGTCCTGACCAACTGCCGGATCATGACCCTCAACACGAGCCTGGAATACGAAAAGACGGAGACGCAGTCGGGCTTTTACTACTCCTCGGCCGAGGAACGGGAAAAGCTGGTGGAGAGCGAGCGCAAGTGGCTCGACGAGCGGTGCCGGCAGATCGTGGACTTTAAGAGGAGCGTCTGCAAGGACGGCGAAGTGAGTCAACCGCAAAATCTGGTTTGGTTTGGTTTGGTTTGGTTTGGTTCCCGAGTGGCCGACGCGCATCCGTGCCCGTTTGGTGTTTTGTGGGGAGAGCCGGTCGTGGAAACGATTCTGCGTCTCTAGCCGATGTTTTGTGTTGCCCGCTTTGCCACCGACTCGATCGTCCGTGCACCCATCTGACGCTTTCTTCTCTGTCTTGTTCTTAGTCGTTTGTCATTATCAACCAAAAGGGTGTCGACCCATTGAGTCTGGATATTTTTGCCAAGGAGGGAATCTTGTGCCTGAGAAGAGCCAAACGGCGCAACATGGAACGCCTCACCCTCGCCTGCGGCGGATCTCCCATCCACTCGCTCCAGGACATCGACGAGTCACAGCTGGGTTACGCCGGGAAGGTATCGCAGATCACGCTGGGGGAAGAGAAATACACGTTCGTGGAGGACTGCGAAAAGGCCGAATCGTGCACCATGCTCCTCCAGGGACCCAACGAGCACTCGCTCAACCAGGCCAAGGATGCCATCAAGGACGGGCTCAGGGCCCTCAAGAACGCCCTGGAGGACAACGCGGTCGTGGCCGGTGCCGGGGCCTTTGAGGTTGCCACCGCGTGGCATTTGCAAAAGAACGTCCTCCCAAAGGTGGCGGGCAAGGCAAAGCTCGGGGTCCAAACCTTTTGCGACGCCCTCCTGGTCATCCCGAAGACCCTCGCCGAGAATTCCGGCCTGGACGTCATAGACACCCTGCTCAAGCTGCAGGACGAGCACTCCGAATCGGGCCTGCTGGTCGGCCTGGACGTCAAGACGGGAGAGGCCATCCTGCCGAGCGACGAAGGCATATGGGACAACGTCCGGGTCAAGCGGCAGTCGCTCTACCTGTCGACGGTCCTGGCCAGCCAGCTGCTGTTGGTGGACGAGGTCATGCGCGCCGGAAAGAACATGGGAAAACAACCGAGTCCGATGGACGACAACTAACGCAAAGGCCTCGGCCCGTGTGGTACGGTAATTGCCAAACAGAAACCAATCGACGCTGTCGGTCTAATTAGATATCGCGCGCTTTCATAGACTAGGTACTAGGTGTGGTTGTGATTATCGTTGTCCATCGACTGACTTAAAGTTCTTAGAGCAAAATTTGTGAGAATTGCATGTATTCTCCATGGAATTCGGGAAAGCTACGTCCCTTTCCTCGACGATGAGCCCAGGTCGACGTCGGACACGACCAGGCTGCGAGCGTCCTCGTAGTCTCCCATGTAGACCAGGCCAAGGAGTCCTATCAAAGTATACAGGGCGAGCGTCATTATCCCGATCCACATGGGCACCCCCATTTCGTTCAGAACCGTAAAGAGCAACGGCGGGAGGAAACCGAGTATCTGGCACGAAAATAGATACAGTCCCATCAGCTCGACCGACCCTTGCCCCTGGGGAGAAATCGTCACAAAGATAGTCGTGTGCTGTGGGTGCAGCCAACCCAGGCAAATCCCCCAAACAAAGGAGAACCCGAACATCCGGAGCTTGGAGTCCGCCCGCAGAAACAAACCCGCCGCGACGGTGTTCAGAATGAACACCACCAGGCCAACCTGTGCGCTCCGTACGGGATTCTTGTAGCGCCTGCAGACACGGTTCCCGATCACGGACCCCGGTATGCCGCCGATCATGACCACGAAGAGCACCAAACCCATCTGGAGGGAGCTCATCTCCAGGAATTCGCTCATGTAGGTGGTGATGATGATCGGAAGCCCCGCAATGCCCGCCTCCGACCAGGCGAGGCTGAACACCAAAAAGTGCCGGACGGCTTTGTAGTTGCTGGAAATCTCGTGAAAGGTCCGGTGGAGCTTCAGAAMCCCCGCCGTGAGTATGTTTTGGCCCGCCGGCAGGATCGAGGCGGGCGGCTTGTCCGGAAAGAGATGGCCCCAGCCGATCCAGTATAACGGCAGGCAATTGAGGACGGTAATAATTACTGCGAGCCTCGCGATGTGTACGTCGTTATCTAGGTCCAGGACGCGGCTCAGTACTTGAACCTCCAGCAGATAGAGAAACATGGAGGCAAAAAGCGTCAATGCCAGAGACGATTGAAACTTGGATTGGGTTGTCGGATGGTGGGAGAGTTCTGCCGAGTATGCGTACATCGCTGCCTTCTCCGTCTGGAAGAAAAGAGAAGAAAGCACCTGCAGGCACACCACGAAGAACCAGATTCTTTGTCGGATTCCGATCTCGAGTATCTTGATCAGAGTCAAACCGGATGCCATGCATAATCCAACTTGTCTACGGTAGGGGGTAAAGTCGACCACCGCTCCGACAATCGGCAAAGAGACTACAGAAATAAAGGATCCAAGGGCACCCATGTTGGTCAGCAGCGAAGATGGCTTGAAACCAAAAATCTTGGGATCCGTCATGCATTCCTCTATTATGAAGTCGTCCTGGCTCGATTTTTTGGAAAAGCAGTTGGATAAAGCCTGATGCAGTGCTAGCTTCAAAAGGGCTGTACCGACAAAGAAGTATGCCAGGTTGATCGTTGCACGCGCATACGTATCGATGACACACCCATTGGCTTCCATGGGTAAATCAGCATATGGAAGGTTTATGTATCTCGATATGAAACCAATCACTGGCACCCCTTCGTCGGTGAAGAGGTCTTCGTCGGAAGACAAACCATTCTCGTCGGCTCTATCCGACGACGTCGGTTGCCCTGTTGGCAGCAAAACATCTGAATTCTTCATCAACTCGGTTCTCTCTTCCGGGATCGCATCTATCCGGCCGTCGTCTTCCATTCTACTCGTTGTCGGCAGGGATCTTCTAGTTCGGAACGTTTGTGCCTGTATCATCACCGACTACCGAGGAGGATTGGTCTTGTCTTAGGTTATTTGGAAGTCGGCCGGAGTTTTCGTATCTCGAATTCATTCCGTACTACGAGTACGGTACCAGGTACCAGGTACTGCTAACTACTACGCTTTAAAAAATTTAAAAATCAATAAGTAAACAGAGGTTCGTGGCATTGGGAAGCTACGAGTATCTGTGTATTCGTACTTACAAGAACTGGGTTTTTCAGGATGAAAAAAATTCTACTCTTGCCACGGCCATTGTATTTGTTAAAAAGCAGACCATCCCCAAATATACTTACTTAGACCAACATCCCCCTAATTTCATGTTCTCTCTCATTGCTACTAGTAGTAGTAACAGTCATTTCACTATAGAATGAATGAGGTCTTTTGCGGTTTGCTGCAAGTGGAAGTCGAAATGTCATCATCCTGTGGCATAAAATGGATTTTGTGGAAAAAACTGTCATGTTTCTTCAAAGAAGCACCAGCAGCTACTACTAGTAGTAGTAGTACTAGTACTATTGGCTTGTCCTCTGTATATTTTCTTGAAGAAACAGTTTATAGTCTCTTAAAACAGCCATTCATTTTGTACTACTACAGTCTACATTTAAAAAAAAACTTCATACCAGATTTTTAGTATTTCTACCCCCTCAGACTCCCTTTTTCGATCGACTATTTCAGTAAAAAAACTAATATTCTAGTATTTTTTTCTTTTTGACTTCCATGATTGTTCAGATTTTTCTCGTTTTTCATTTTTCATCATCTTCTTTCCACAGATGCATTGATAATACTACTAGTAGTAGTACTACGAAGAGCAACTGCTGCTTCTTTGGGAGATTTCTTTTTCTCGCACACAATGTTTCTGGTGCATCTAGTGCCTGTTTAGATTTTTGAAACATAGTTTGGCTGAGATATACCATAATGATGGACATGCTGTTTGATGGTGGGGGTGGTACATCCTACTAGTACTAGCCAGTTTGGTACATCATGGCGAAAAGTTTTTTTTGTTGTGTTATGAAAATCAGATACACTGCTCCTCCAGAACCCAGAAGAAAAGCACTACGACTATAGGTGACCAGCAAGAAGAAGAATAGAGAAAAGCCTCTCTCAGACTATAGTCTGCTGCTTTACTCCTGTAGTTGAGGAATAATAGTAGTAGTACTAGTTCCCTATGTTCCCCCCCCCCCCAATTTTGACAAAATTTCCTTGAACTTTGTCTTAACCTGTCTAGACACCAACACCAGTACAATTCATACTGCATAAAACAACAGTAGTAATATGCAGAACAATACTTTCTGCTCATTTATATCTTCCCTTCAAAATTTCCAGACAAGAAAAACTGCCTAAGATAATATTTGACAACTTTATGAATGATAGTATGAAGAACACAAATTTATATCAGTTGGATTTGGCTATGTCAGGACAAAGAAGAATAGTACTTCTAGCTCTGCAAAAAATTTTCCATTTCCCAAGCAGAGAAGGCACAACCATGGTGGATGCAGTATGTCATATAGTCAATAACTGGACTAGTAGAACAACTAAGTAATGCCAATTGGACACAAAAATAAGATGTTTGATGCCCTACAGCAAATGCAAAATACATATACAACAAACAATTTGAATGGTGCTGACATACACATCAGACAAGGATAGTGAAAAGTATTCTACATCACTTCTTTCCACCAACACGGGATAGTATATTTGTATTTTTTATGGTTGCTACTGGATGGACAGGGAGGAGTGCTTTATCTAACCTTCTAGTACTAGCAGTCTTCTTGTACTTGATGATGTTATGGAAGAATGGAGGTTCAATACAAATCAAGAAGACACAAGAATACAAGGATGATGGAGGTTCTATAGAAATCAAGAAGACAAAAGAAGACACAAGAATACAAGGATGATGGAGGTTCTATAGAAATCAAGAAGACAAAAGAAGGCACAAGAATACAAGGACGATGGAGGTTCTATAGAAATCAAGAAGACAAAAGAATGCAAGGAAGAGGTTTCAGGCTAAGCCGTGCTTTGAGTTGATAGTTCCTGTATAGTATGAATAAGATTCTAAGCGTGTATAGTATGAATAAGATTCTAAGCCCAAGCTAATTCCTCCAATGGCTTAAAAGAAGAATGAAAACGTGGATGCCACAGACTTCAGCCCAAAAAGAAAGAATAGAAAAGTCACCATTGTAACTTTCTTGGGATTTGTTTAGCAGACTAATAGTAGCACCATTGTTGCTAGTGATATCGGAGATGTAGATTAAAAAACCTAGTGCAGGATGTAGTGAAAATTATGAAGGAGTAAAAGAAAAGAAGTGCAGTGCTGTTTGTGTAGTGTATGGGGGAGAACTAAATTAATAGTAACTTTTGTTTGATAGAGATGCAACAACAAGCAGCAGTTACTTCTAATATCATTTGTATTGTAGTAATTTTATTTGCTGTATCCTCAGTTGATTGTTGCAGCAGTACTACATTAAGAACTACTACTACTCAGATAATCTTCTCTTCTTTGAGATTACTAAAAAATGCTGTTTATTCTCCAAAAGAACTGTAATGCTGCCCCAATTCTGGTGCTCAGTCTAATGATGTTGTTGTTGGGGTAGTAGTACTACTAGGAAATTGCCATAAAAATATATAGCTATCCTCCCATCACAATAAGCCATTTAGCTTTGGAGATGTCATTCTTGTTGCTTGCTACTACTATTACTATTACTAGCACCACAAGCACCACCAATTATAGCTTTCATCAAACAATTATGGTGATAATGACACAATAGATACTAACAAATCTAGTACTTGATTTACATAAGTACTAGTACTAGTAGAGCTACAAAATTAGGCAATATCCTCACTGCCAGCACTACTTTGTCCCACATGTCCAATATTTTGGAAGAAGATGCCTGTAGTCCAAGAAGACACCGGGAAGGAGAAGAACAAGAAGGAGGAGAGGGAATCTGGAGGAAGAGACGTCAAATAGGGGATCTCCTGTACTCAAACACTTCCTACTCTTGTTCATGGGCACACCACTACACCAGTACTAGCACACAACAAACCGTGCGCTGGGCAAAATGTACCAGTGGCCTTGAATACACCAATACTTATCCAAAGAAAAACAAAAGATTTCTTCTCGTTGGCTACTAGCAACGCGTTTCGGAGTACTAATATTAGCAGACTACTGCATGATGTGCACTCTCTTGACACCAAAGGCGGTGGAGAATGCTGGTGTTGCTAGTTTCTGCCTAGCAATCCACCAAAGCCTACAGTAGAGTATGGTTGTCTTTCCAGAGAAGGTATTGAATAGAATAAGTGTTGTTACAATGTATGGCACAGAATGCACCGATCGAACGATTTTCCCAAATGGGTTGTGCATCGAGTGCTGCGTGCGCCACCAACAAGTTTCGCGGATCCGACGCGGTGGAAAACGATGCGATCGAACCGTCTCTCGTTGGATTCGGTTCTTCCGCTGTTGGCACTGGATTTTCCAGCCCCCGATTGCGCCGTGCACTGTCGCAGCAAATGCACGTGCCGGACAAGGTTGCAAAAATAGATTGCAACAGCAAAGGGAAATAGGAGCATTGACCTTGGTGTGGATGGGTGGAAGGAAGGCTATTTTCCCATTCAATTGCAATTTATTTGGCCCTTGGATTCGCAAAAAAACCATGGCAGCAAACAAACACCACGTCTATTTTGTTTGCCCCTCGGTTTCAGAAAAAAAAAACCACTGTAGCAAACAAAGACCACGCTTTGTTTCTGTCGTTGTAGAGAAACTTTCGCGGTTTCTCTTTCGATGTTTCAAAACGAACTTCCTCGGCCCACCCACCCATCACCCACCCACCCATCGACTCGCTCGCTCACTCGCCGTCGTCCGTCATCCCCTCGTCCACCATGTACTCGTGGAGGGCGGAATCCTTTTTCGGCGGCGGCAGGCCCTTTTGCCGGCGCTGCACGAGCATCCCCCTCATGTAGCAGTCCCGGAATTTCTCGAAAAAGTCGTCGCAGTCCTGCTCCGGTTCCAGGGACTTCCCGGGCAGAAACTTTTTCTCGTAGTGGTCTGCGACGCACCTGCCCCAGGCCCGCTTGTGCTTCCGGCAGCGGCGGTCGACGTCGACGCCGACGCCGGTGGTCCCTGCCGGTGCGGTGCCCGCTGGCTTTTTCGGTTTGTCGTTCTCGCGGTCGGCCTCGCTTGCGCCCCCGGCCCTTGTGCCGCGGAATCCCTCTCCGACCGCCGAGAGCGGCAGCGAGGGATCGGAGCCGCTGGAAATGCCCACACCGGTGGCGCTCTGGGCGGATCCCATGGTCGTTGTTCTTTCTTCGGTTTGGGCGTTCGGGTCTTTGGTTCGTGTTGCGTTGTATCGAACCGTGCGGAAACGGGTTTCTGTATCCGGGTCGCTGGCAATCGCGGGTTTGGTGGATGCGGTGGTACACGGTGGGGAGTGGGTCTTGTTCGTAGCTAGAACAAACAAGCACGGTGTCGACTTTCTCGGAGAGACCAGAGATGATTCCAAAAGAAAGATGACAAGGAACGAAATGATTTTGACCGAGAGGAGGAGGCGAGAAAAGGAGAAGAAAAGGAATCAATCCTCACTGTGGAACATTGAAGTCGGGTTGTTCTCCGTTGCGGAACGTGGAATCGACGACTTGTACGACTAAATAAATCCGTAGATGCCGTCTCCAGTCTCCAATACCAGTCGGGTAGAGTATGTAGGTACGTACTAGGAGCAGGTCCTACGTACCAATCGTTGATTGGCGTCTGTGGATCATCGGTGGAATTTTTCGAAACCTAGATCTTCAATCTCGAGATCAAAATTTGAATCCAATGATGCCCATGTACCGGTATCGTAACTCGTGCCATACTCGTAGAGTTCAGCGTTCAGCAACACGACCGAGGCGATCAAGAGAACCCCCCCACCCTTCGCGTCACCCGTCTGTGATGCGACAAACAGCATCGGGATCCAACATCCGACATCCAACACAATTCCTACCGAAGCTTCCAAGGCAAACAAGCCCTTTCGTACAACACCAAACCACACCACACCACACCACACCACACCAAACCCAAAGTTCAAGCCAACCCCAACCCCAGGCAACCAAAGATGAACTTTCTCTGGCAGCAACGCGTGTTGCTCTTGGTCTCGGCCCTGCTCTCGGCGACGCCCTCGCCGGCGATCGCCTCGTCGTTCGTGATGCCTTCCGTGGCAGGAAAGCCCTCCGGCCGACCGGCCTTTGTCGCCGGCCGCCAAGAGATCGGAACCGGGAGCTGCGCAAGCAAGGTGCTGGGGGTGTCCCCCGGCGGCGGCGGCGACGACGAGGAAACCGCGGTCCCGCAAGCCGAAAGCGGCGCCGAACCTTGTGCCACCAGCGCCCCGCTCGCCGCTTCCGGTGCGACGCCCCTGGGCCCCGGCGCCAAGACGCCCCCCGGGTTTCTCCGGTCCAGGTTTCCCCGCTTTCCGTGGAACAGGGTCCCCGACTACCTCACGTACGCGCGGTGCCTCGCCATCCCGGTCTTTGTCGGCCTCTTCTACGCGAGCCTGAACGGAACCAGCCACCTCTACACGGGGACGATCTTCGCCCTGGCCAGCGCCACCGACTGGTTCGACGGCTTTCTGGCCCGGCGCTGGGACATCTCGACCGCCTGTGAGTCTCTCTCTCTTTTTTTGTTTGTTCGGACCGGGTCGAGTCGTTGTGATGCTAACGAACGCAAAGCAGCGAAGAGAAGATTCGAATGGGTCTCCGGGCTCGGTCGTTGGGTTGTGCTGCTCCGTAGCCGTTCGTGTGTAGCGGTTCGTGGACAACTACGGGCATATCCATGCATCAACGCATGGCTTCCAGCGGAAACAAGGCAGCGACCATGAAATCTTTTTTGAAATTCCCCACTCATGTTTTCTGTGTTTTTTCATTCCTTGACCCACGCACGCTTCCTTTGAATGCAACGCGTCGGAATTGATTTCCATGCCACGCATCAACCAACCAACCAACCAACCAATACCGTGCATGCTTCGCTGCTCTGCGCAGTCGGGGCGTTTTTGGACCCCGTCGCGGACAAGCTCATGGTGAGCACCTCGCTCGTTCTGCTTTCCGGAAGGCACGGAAAGGTTGCCGCCATTCCCACCCTGATCATCCTGGCGCGGGAGCTCGCCGTATCGGCGCTCAGGGAATGGATGGCACAGCGCGGGGAGAGAGACACCGTCAAGGTCGGCTACCAGGGCAAGGTCAAGACCTTTCTGACCATGACGGCGCTGACGGTTCTTCTCTACGCTCCCGCCGAGGCGGGAACCGCGTCGATCCTCTACAAGGTGGGCATTCCCATGCTGTACATGTCGGCCCTCATCACCATCACCAGTGGGAGCGTCTACTTTATGGCCGCGGCGCCGGCCCTGCTTGGCACGAAACAGTAAGGGAACGCCAGCTTTTTTGCGATGCAAACGAAACAAAACAAAATCCCAGCGAACTAACGTAAATCAAGTTAAGAATTGCTAGAAACGAGGACCGCGCCGCGTACGGCAGGCACGCGAACATTAACCGTGCGTTTGCAATTGCAATGGCTATGCATGGCACGGTCGTTTTCCGGGGTTGTCGTGCGTAGTGCAGCACACCAACGAGTCGATAGTTCTAAAAACGGCTGCGACGAGCTCTCGTGCTCGTGGTTGTGAAACTGCAACCCACAACGCGTTTGACTCCCCCCCCCCCCTACGAGGTGTTGCAAAGGCGCAACCCAACAGGTTTGCCTCTTGTTCTTTTGTGGCAGAAGATCGTCCGATAAAGCCAAACGGGGGAGGCACGAAGCGTTCCAACGCATGCCCGTGGCTGTGTGCCGTGCGCTCTCCCGTCTCTCGTTTGCCCGGACTCGATGCTCTCTTGCCATTTCCGGTGCTGCAGGAGGGCCACTCGAGACACTTGTTCGAAACCCAGTCCGCCGGCCGATTGGATTGGTATCCCCTTTTGTATTCTCTGGGCCCAGGGTCTCTTCTTTGCTGGACCGTAAAACGGATTTTTCCTAGCTCTATACGCAGTAGTGGTGGACCATCCGAGGGCCAACTTTTTACCCTATACCACTTCCTAATATCGTTAACAAACCGGTGCATCCAATGAAATAATAGAAGAATCGAGCCATCATTGCTGAAGGAGTCAGAGCATAACGCATGGAATCGAACTTTCTCTAAGAACAGTACAGCGGTTCAAATCAATTATGGAGCCTATCGTCCATTAAGTACTTTTTAGTAACACGGGCTTGATTGCCAGCCAGAATCACTTCGTTTCGAAATGCTATCTTGCCAACCATGACTTAGTTGCCAAACTCCTCGTGTCGCTCTGCTCGTTTCTTCTAACTCTACATAATCTAAAAGGGAGACATTGCAAACCCCGTTTCGTTTTCGAAACTACGGTACAGCGGCAATATCCTTGGGAACAAAATTGACCACCAGAGGCAAAAAATGCGTTCCACCGTAGCCCTATTCCCCGCAAAGATCTTCGCCTCGAGCGACCGCAACGGTCGTTCGTTTTCTATTTCATACCATTGATTTCGGTATCCTTCGCATGCTCGAACTCATCATGCGCCAATGCATCATCGAAGTATATTGCCATCGTAGCTTCCTCTGTTCTGCATCCATCGGGATTGGCATGCTTGTTCGCTTCCCCATCGTTCCTCCGGAATCAAGGACAAGGAATTCTCAAACAACTCGAGGATATCGTACGACATGTTGCAAATGTGTTCCACAACGGTGCTCAACAGGCTAACATCCTGTGGGTTGTCGACCTCTGATATTATTTCTTTCACCAATTCGTTGTGCCGATCCCTGGACAACCCTTTCGCCATGATGCAATACCGAAACAAAATATCGTCCGGCCGCGGAGTCCGGTACAAATAGGGAAGCCCCGTCACCAGGGTGTATAGCGTGACCGTTGCGGCCCAAAAGTCGCACTTGGCCCCGTCGAAGGGTCGGTTCAGAAGAGTTTCGGGAACCATAAAGGGGGGCGTTCCGAAGGTTCCGATGTCCTTGACAATGCCCCCCTTGGGCATGACAAAACTCATGGCCAGGTCTCCGATCAAGACCCGACCGCTCTCGCTCACCAGAAAATTGGCTGTTTTGATGTCGCGGTGGCATATCCCGTGCACCTTGTGCAGATAATGCAGGTCCTCTAGGATTTGTTGAAACAGGATTCTCGCCTGGTCTTCTACCGAGTATCGATCGTTGGGAGATAGGGGCAGGTTGTCCGAGAGACTTCCTCCCCCGCACCACGGCGTGATAATATAGAGGTAGTTTTCTGCCTGCAAGGCTTCGATAATGGCACACACGTGGTGGTGGTCGCCAATGGTTTGCATCCTCCATATTTCCTTAAAGGGATTTTCTTTCGATCCGTTCCTCAATTCGTTTGTGACTACGTTCAGATCAAGGCGTTTTATTGCAACGCGTTGCGCTTCGTGTTCCATTGGTTCCTCGTACAGCATGTCGTCTTTCCTCCTCGGCAGTATGACTCCCATAAACAGGTACCCCCAGGTAGGGCCACCGTGCGACAATTCTACCGGCTGGAACGCTGGGGGCTGTATGATTTGGTAGGCTTGAGCGGCGTCTTGTTGCCGACAGAGAAAGACTTGCCGATAGACGGGTTGCAACGACGGATGATTCCGTCGGAGCAGAGAGCTTCTCGGATCAACATCGGGAGGAACCGATGGGACTATCCATATCTGCGGATTGCATATTGCGTCGTGTATTTCTGGAAGGATTTGTTCTGGCAGAGGATACTCCGCCTCCGCTTCGGTCATCGCAATGATCAATCTCTAGTTTGTTGTTTCGGGTGCKGGTGGTTGTTGATTGCGAGTATGGCAGTATCTATGCAATGAATTCTTTTCGAACACGGAAGGTAACAGTTTTCAATAGGAACGACAAGACGGCAGAGGTGGTTGCTGATGTCAACCCACATCTAACGGTACGTATGCCACAAACGTTGTCAAACACAAATAACTTCGTACTACCGAAAGTAGGTTTTTGATTCTGGAGACCTCAAGAGATGTTGGAAAGGAACTGTATACTGGGGTACCTACGGTCCGTACGAGTACGAGTACTACTCGTCACTCGTCCCTCGTCCCTGTTCTTGGAAAAAAGACGAGCGCTCACTAATCTTGTACTACTCGTAGTGCATACCGTACGTTTCGCACCTTGCGTGCTACGTACCTGTAGCAGTTGAAATAAAGAATGAAACGGACTGAGTACCTTACGTGTAATTATTTCATGTCGTTAACTGACTCTATGGTATTTCGAAGGAATCGGAGAAATGTCTTTGGTGCGGGTTTGATAATCATTTTTTTAATCTACGGTACTGAGAAAGTATCATAGTATTTCTTCAGTTCGTTACGTACGAACTGCGTCCAAGCCACACCTCCAAAATGTACTACTAATACCAACAGTTCGTACAAGGTACTACAGTTTGAGACGACCACAACTAGTAGTACTATTGGAATGACGAGACACCCCATGCACCGCAATCGTTTTTATTTAGTCGTGCCGTACTAGCAACACGGGCAGTAGGATGATTACGTACGAACTTTATTTACAGTATTTGTATTGTACTGTTCTTACATCAGTATGTATCAAATTCTTTCTCGTAGATTGTCAAGAATTCCATCCTTGAAAATTCCTCAACATTCCGAAGAGGCTTCGGAACCAAGAAAAGCCGATCGTAATGTGCACAAAGAATCTGTGAGACCTCGAGAAGTCGTTTTGTCAACATCAAGACGAGAATCAAGGACTTCCGCCACAGAAATTCTATGTGTATTCCATCACATCAGTACTTCTATCTACATCATTTCATTCTTTCTTGCGCTGCATGTCGTGTCGGAATCAACTCAGTACGATGAATTCAGTTTTCCTACGGAATTTTCCTGCGGGAGAATTTTCTTGCGGACTGTTCTTTGAACTTCTCGTTTCCAATCCTACCTATTGATCATCATTCCCTATGCTGAAACGAATGTCGCGCTGTGTGGTGCAAACCGGTATTTTTATACCGAGCTCGATTGCAGGTGCTCTTGAAGATCAAGAAACCAAGGCAGAATCTTGGCAGTGATCTGCAACAAGGGTACTGTGAGATAGCTAGATCGGTAGCAATTGACGGCGGGCAAACGCGGTTCCAAAGGTATCGAACAAATGGTCCTCGAAATAGGCTCGAGACGAACCACTCGAATCAATCGCCGTGGGTGCGTGCTTACAAAGTCAGACCAGCCTAGAACTCCACAGAAAAAGATATCTATGAATTCAATACTTCCAGCGGGGGGGGGGGAGTAAATGAACAACACTAACGTCGAATGAATGAACTGCAGTGGATTGGATCAGATAGAAATCGAACAGGCAAGCTTACGATCGATGTACCCTTCACATCATTTGAATTTCGGTTGCTAGTGGCGGTAGTGGTCAATATAGATTGCCCCGACGGAAATATGAAACTTGTGTTCTCTCCATGGATTCAAAACAATTGCAGCCGCAGCTTGCCTATGGAATTTGCAGATTGCAAGGGAGGACTGATTAGAATTGAAAAGATGCCTCGCACAAAATAACCTAATTACTGCTCAGTATTGTACTCTTTTTCAAGTACAGTACGTTATACTTAAGGTGAAGGTTCTTTCCTAATGATACGTTAGTGTTTTAGGTTTTTTCTCTAAAAAGTAATTTAGACATTCATTATGGGGCCATTCAACGTTACTGTAGGATATTGGTTCGAAGCAGCATGAATGGTAGTGGAAATCGTTTAGAAGAATATCAACAGAATCCCAATATCGGGGGTTGAAAAGTATCCTCTTGACCATTTCATGTTAGATCATCATTAGGTAGACGAACAAGAAAGTAATTGCTTGCTAGGCATTACAATATAGATTGGAATGTTTTAGAGAACCAGGGTTGGTAACACAGGGCCATCTTCGACAAGATCAACTTCTCGGGGTTCGGTTACTCTTGCCCGACTTCTGCTTCTTGCACGGGTGTTCCTTGATTCTCTCGGACGACTACAACTCCGGGCCCGGCTTCTACTGGATCGAGCTCTAGGTTGGCTTCGACTCCGTCTTCGGCTACTGCTTTTTGGTGTGTCTCTTGCAGAGCTGTCAGACCTATTCTTAGGTCGACTGCGACTCCGATTTCTACTGCTGCTAGACTGTCTTGGACAACTGCGACTCCGAGCTCGGTTGTAGCTCTTTGTCCTAGGACAACTTCGGCTACGAGCGCGACTGGCACTAGTTGCTCTATCTCTACTAGAACGGGTACTCTCAGGCCTTCTTCGAGGCTGGCTTCGACTTCTGGCCCGACTGCTGCTCCTGACCCTGGGACAACTTCGACTCCTGGCACGACTGGTACTTGTCGGCCGTCCTCGAGGCTGGCTTCTACTTCTTACACGGCTACTACTTCTTGCCCTACCTCCACTAGAGCGGGTACTCTCGGGTCTATCTCTAGGTCGGCTATGACTCCGTGCTCGACTGGAAGTCCTGGGTCGATCTCGTGGTCGGCTTTTGCTCCTAGCACGGCTACTACTTCTTGCCCTACCTCCACTAGAGCGAGTGCCCTCGAGTCTATCTCTGGGTCGACTGCTGCTCCGTGCTCGACTACTACTTCTTGGCCTGTCTCTACTAGAACGGGCAGCATCTCTAGGCCGACTTCGACTCCGGGTACTGATAGTGCTTGGAGGCCTATCGGCTCTATCTCTGGGTCGACTTTTGCTCCGAGCTCGACTGCTGCTCCTAGGTCTATCTCTGCTGGAACGGTTAGTTTCTCTTGGTCGACTTTTGCTTCTAGCACGGCTGCTACTTCGAGGTCTCTCTCTGCTATCTCTTGGTCGACTCCGGCTCCGAGCCCGGCTGCTGCTTCCAGGTGTTTCTCTACTATCTCTTGGTCGACTCCGGCTCCGAGGTCGTCTGGTAGAAAGTAGTGCTTTGGATCGCGACGTGCCTCTATTTTTTTCCAAACGTTTACTGTTGGTAATGTAGGCCATGGGCTTACCACGCGATCGACTACTGCTTTTACTCGATTTTGATTTGGAATCGTCCATCCTGACGTACCAGGTGGATGGTATATCTTGATTCTCTCGACTGCTATTGCTGCGACTGCGAGCACCCAAACTAACTGTTCTTGGAAGCTCCATGCCACCATCCATGCTCTTCATTTCCTCAACTCGGCGTTTCCTGAGCGTGAACATATTCTTCAGAAAGAAACCCGCTACAATCGCACCAAGCATGAAACCCAACGTGKAGCCTCCATTTCCTGTGTCTACTTTTGTGCAGCATAGTTCCTGATACTTTTCTTGCCCCACCGAGCACATGGCGTTGTCATATCGCAACATTGCCAACTGAAGATGGATGTCGGCACATGTTTGACTGTCGTTGACGTGGGCATTCAGGTTCTCCGGAATACTGCTATCGTAACATAGTGAACATCCTTTGCTTCCCAGGCGCGGGGTATTGCTCGAGCCAGATTGATAATTTTGCTTCCGCCGTCGATTGTTTCGCTTCTTTCCCATTGTTTAGGTTATTAATGGGGTAGACTACTGGTGAAATGGTCTATTGCTTCGTAACTTTTGTGCGACGCAATTTGACAATAATCAGGATAGCAGGAAAATGTGAAGATGTCGTTAGTGATAATTCTAAATAAAAAACGGTGATCGTAACATCAAACGATAACCGGAAAACCTTGGGGCCGGCTTGCTTCCAACGACTACTACTCGTACTATCGTACCCACATAAATAATAGACGATGAAACTATTTTTTTAGTTTTTCTTGCACCGCTGGTTTTTCAAGGATGTAGTACAATTTCTACGAGGAAAACAGTTCTCAAATCGGAAACAGTTATGGTTTTAACCGGTGATTACCGGCACGACAAATTGTAGGTTAGTACTAGTAATACATATGATTGTTTCGTACAACGACCCCTGTCGACTGACGATGATGAGTGCGAGTTGGAACTTTTCTCAATGAAAAAAAGAAAATAAATCAAAAATCTAAAAGGACACTTTCTCATCTCCTCCAGAGATGCCGCGGTCTGAAAAACACCCACACGAACAAACTGGCAATAGGATGATAATTCGCAGGCAACGTAAAATAACAAATAACTGTCAGGTGACTGATATGACACATAACATTTGCAGCGAACAGAATTCTAACGCTATACGTTTCTAAATATGGACGAAAACAACGAACCTGAATGGGAATCTGCGTCAAACGACCAGGCATTTCGTGAGCAAGTGAGAGAAGTGCACGCACGCGAAACAAGAGGTGGAGCCCCACAAGCTAGCGAAGAGCCGGTTTCCCCGGCTGTCACTTCCGTGAGGTGGGATTTAGGAGAAGACAACTCGAACAACCAAAACGGCAATGACGTTTCCTTCCTAACGTCCGAAACCCAGAATATACCAGAGACGAATGCGAATGCATCCGGCAGACGAAGGGGACTCGCATCATCATTATGCTCGAATTGTCGATCGAAGTGTTCGCTGAGATATTTTCTGCATGTCTGGGACATTGCATTTACATCGATTTGGATTTTATTTGGAGCGTATCATCTCTTCTTCAACAAAAACAATGAATCTTCTCGCTCGACACACATGATATTACTACTTGTGACCTGTGTTCTGCTGGCGGTTTTGAACGCTCTTCGTGGTTTCCTTTGGATCTGGACATCCGTTCCTTCGCTCTATACGATCTGCTTCTGCGGGTGCTGCTACTACAGCGAAGACGAATTGGCCGACATAGCATCGAGACTGGCAACGAATTTGACGCTGAGTCTTGGAATACTGTATGGTGGCATTGCAGGGGTCGCATGGTTCGGTCCCGACGCGTGGCTGCCGTGGTGCGACTTTTTTGGATCGTGGTGCCACAAACTTATTCCAACCCATACGGGAATACCAATCGCTCTGACCGCAGTGTCCATCATCGAACTTTGCAGATGGATCTTCTTGCAGGGGCAGTTATCATCGTCTTCTCCGGTGCGCGGAGCGGATTATTACAACGACGACGTTGCGTCGTCGCATTCGCAAAGCAGCCGGCACCGTCCTTGGTGGTTCGGTCGACAGAGCAACCCTGATGGCGATGGCCTGCACGAGCCGCTTCTAGAACAAGATATGGCAGTAAATGGACAACCAAGCTGGGCGGTGACATCGTGGTTCAGAAGTCCGAGAAACACTAACTCGAACACCAGCAACGCAGAGGACGGTGTCATTAATGGTGACGAGGAGGATGTAGAATCTGTGTTGGACTCGTTAGGGGAAGATTGGGCATCGAGAGCAGAATCGGACCCCTACTGGTGGACCCGTTAGAACGCTGAGTTTGCAGAAATTTGATGCGCATTGCTGCACGGGTTCTGAAAGATTAGGTTCTAAAAGTTGAAATCATCCCTGCATTTTACAATGAAAGAATGTTGATACCCCGTACTACGGTATCGCTTTTCAGATGTCGCAACATTTAAAAAAAATGTTGTGATACGTTGTTTGTCTCTTATAAAGTGTTTATTCGTCGTTTCCTAGACTCTCCATGAATTTTGTGATTGCAATGGGTTTTTGCCGCACCAGCAGATCGAGTGGACCAAATAGCTCACCTTTCTTCTGGCGCTCCAAGAGCTCGTTCCAGCTATATGACTTCCAGCCGAGACATTTGTCCGGTTCCATGTTTTCTGGTGTCTGGACAGGATCCGCGGCCTTGCAGGTTGCCAGCATGAATATTGTAACATAGTGTTTTTTCTCGTCCGGCATCGGATCGTTCGTAACGTGTCCAAACGCTATTGTAGTTGCATCAAGGTTTAGATTGCATTCTTCCAATACCTCTCTTATGGCGCAGTCTTCCCAGCTCTCAAACATTTCGAGGTGGCCCCTTGGAATACGGTATCGTTTGAAAAGGAAAAAAGTCAACAACAGAGCAAAACATGAAAAAAATCGTTCCGCTTTTGGCAAGACGAGGGAATGAACAAACGATCGATCCAGAAGACCGTCGGTATGTTGTTCCGGGGTGTTTCCCATAAAGGAACGAATCCAAGAGACGATGCCCCCAAGAGGTGTAGAACTTACCCAGGCAGCGCAAGCTTCCCGGCTCCGTGAGATCCTTTCCGGATGCCACAAAATACCCGACCCGCTTCCCTTGGATCTTTCACGAGCACGCCCACCCCGACGCGAACCACACTGGCCGCTGTGTTCTTGCTTGAAGACATAGTGTTTCGTGTTGCTGTGTTGTGTTGCTTTGATGTTTTAAACTTTCGAGTTCCTTTGCTTTGTTGTCTCCGTGGTACCTCCCCTGCTAACAGCTAACTTGTTGATACTTCTCCAAATTACAAGTCTGTTTTTTTGTGTCGATTGGCGCTGTGTCCTGTTGTTGAATCAACTTTTGTTCGCCTTCCTGTTTGTGAGGTAATGTAAAGAGTTGAAATCTATCACGCACAATAGGTTCTGTTCGGCATTGGAGGACGTAGTATAAGAACATATCTGCATCCTGTTGGAAACAGTGATGATAGAGTGGTCGCCAGGCGTGCTAACGAGCCAGGCGATGAATGGAACTAATTCAGTGTCATCCAAGTTGAACAAGTAGCAAGGAGCTGGGTTCAACATGAAGGATACTGATAAGGATGAATAGACAGCTGGAAGCATATGATGAGCTAAAGGACAGCTGTTTAGGATAGAGCTGGCGAGCCAGGTGACAGAAGGGATCCTCATGAAGTGTTGAAGTTGAAGAGATCTTGATAACCGAGGAGGATCCAATTGAAGCTTTAGAGGTGTTTAGGTGTAACAATGAGCAAGAGGAGTGAATTCCGGACAGAGGCCGTGATTATTAGAGCTAGGAGGAGAGCTCATATTTCGAGAATAAGGAATAGAGAATAAGATAGAGAACACTTATTTGACTCATATAATTTCCCCATTTCAACCATCTCAACATTCTTCGAAGAACGTCTTGAGTTATAAGGGTTGTGAATTTGGAGAACAAGAACAAAACGAAATATCAAACAAAGCAAGTAACAGTCGAAAGACTGTAAGAAGTGATCGAAGATGGTGGCTAAGCTTTCTTCAATCAAGATGGAGGTCCCATTGTTTAAGAACAATACGGTCAGGGAATTTGCGAAGTGGTGGCCACTGTTTCAAGCGTATGCAGTTCAGAAAGAATTTGCCGAAGTAATCCAGCAAACCAAATGTAAGGATCTGCCGGAAACGGAGCTTCCTCGGAAGATAAAGCCAGATGGGGTTGAGGATGATATCGACGGAACACTCGAAGTGCATACGGATGAACAGTGCAAAGCACTACTGAAGAACAAGATGGGCATTGCAGCTTTTACAATCGCATTCGCGAGGAATGTGAATGAAGACTGCCAAGCCATGGTTACAGACTCTAAAGATGACAGATACTGGCCGACGGGACAGTGCCACATGGTGGTGCAAGAATTGCTGGATGAATTTGCAGCTGATGACGAGATGGGAATGATCAGACAGCGAGTTGAACTGTATTCAATCTCAATGAGGAAGAACGACAACCCCAAAACACTCTTCTCTCAGATAACTTCAATCGAGCAAAAGTACAAAGGGAGAACAACACCTCTCACGGTGGAGGACAAGCGGGCGGCAATCCTAATGCGGGCTCCAAAGATGTATCAAGCTGTGATTCAAACAGAACGAACCACTGAAAGGAAGATTCATGGCCGGGAGCCAACACTGAAAGCATTGCGACGAGCTATGTATGATCATTATAAAAGTATACAGATCAATCAGGCGAACAATCTTTTGCAGGAACTGACGTTGTATTCAGCTGCGGGTGAAGAAGAAGATAGCAGCGACGAAGACATAGGAAACCTCCACTCACGGAAGAAGAAGAAAGGGAGGAAAGGAACAAAGGTGTCAGGTCAACAGAGAAGAAAGAAGGCAACGGGTAACGAAAACAAGAGCTGTTACGGTTGCGGAGAGAAGGGACATATCAAGCGAGACTGTCCTTATGAGAACCCGTGTGGATATTGCGGAGTCAAGGGACACACAGAGGAACAGTGTTGGAAGAAACATCCAGAGAAGAGGCCCAAGAAATTCAGAAAGGGCGCCAAGAACAACAACGATGTAGCAGGGATCGTGGTCGATGAGGAACTTACCTTCACCGTAATGGACGATGGGGATCTAATGAATGAATCCCCATGGTGGAGCAGTAACTGCTCAGCAAACTATGCGAGTGTAAACACGGTATACAGTAACGCCGTATGCGGTACGAGGAAGATAAATAATGAGCGTATGCAGGCTCGTAGGCCCACGTACACGGGAAACGCAGGCCACGGAAACCACGCTCAACGGTCGTTCCGCGATACACAACGGAGACGCAACGATCGCAAAAGAAGAAGACATACAGGCAAGTATGGAAATCAACGGTTGAAAACACGGGGGTGGCCGCGGGCGCCCGCTTATACCTATGCCAGGACCTGGCGGGTGCGTGAAACCTGGAACGGGCACAAGAAAGTAGCAAGCTGGACGATCATGTCAGAACAATACAATCAGCCTGGGCGCGAGCAAGGATCTAAGCCAGTGCGAACAGAGCACTATGTAGAGAACACATTTAAGTCCCGTGAACGACCCAAGCACGTGGTAATCAGGGACTTACGCGCGGCTCAGCAAGCGGCAGACAGAACCGCTGCGCGAAACACACGTACAATTAAGGGCCTCCATAGCGAGCTCGCGCGACTAGAGCATAGAGATGAGGCATTAAGACAGAGAAATGACGCGGAAGCCGCGCTCATTACCGTAGAAAATGAGACCAGCTTATCTAGTGCCACCGGGACTGAAGTGCTTTATACTCCAATCATATGGATAGCTGACACAGGAGCGTCATGTCACGTAACCAACAGTACTGCGGGAGGCGTACCTTCAGTGAACGCTAAAGAACGCCTAAAGACCCTACGGCACTCACTAGACGCTAGTGGGAACCGCATGCATACTAACGCTATACTGGATATCAAAGGAGCAGTGCAAACTAAAGATGGTGAGACAATCAATGTAGTACTTAAAGACTGTCGATACGGAGCATCCAAGTTCAATCTCTGCTCGATCACCAAGTTGACGGACAGCGGGTGGTTTATGCGTGGAGACGCGAAAGGAATCCACCTGACTAAAGGCGAGCAGAGGATTGATTTTGATATACCAATCAAAACACAAGAAGGTAAGCTTTGGGCTGCCAGAATAGAACGTAGAAGCCCCAATGACGGACCAAACGAACTAACACTGGCTACGCCCACTGTCATGAGCCTCGAAAAGGCTCATCAGTTTTGTGGGCACAGCGGTATTAGAGAAACGATCAAAACGGCCAAATACCTTGGATGGAAGCTTACACGGAAAGAATATCAACGGTGTGAGCCTTGTGCGGTCGCAAAAGCAAGGCAAGCCAATTTGGAACAAGGGGAAACCAGAGAACCCAAACAAATTGGAGAGTTGTACTACATCGATGGAATGAAATTAAAGCGTCCGAAGAGGCCAGAGGCCCGAGTGTATTTCCCTGCTAATAACTGTTTGGTCATGGCAGTCGAACATAAGACAGGAGCGTCATTCACGGGCTGGTACGATAAGAAGAACGGGTTCATCGATGATTTCTGTTCTTATTTCGCCAGACAAGCTGAGAACGGCAAAGCAGTGCGACGAATGCGTTGTGATGATGCCGGAGAGAATAAGCTGTTGCAAAAGAAAGTCAATGGCAAGCACTGGAGACTGAATGTGCAGTTCGAATATACGGCAAAGACCCCACAAAGGAATTCAAGAGTGGAGACCAAACTGTTCCACATGAGCAATAAAACGAGGGCAGCATTAGAGGATGCCAATGTGCCGGATCAGTTTCGATATATCTTGTTTGCATTGTTTTACAAGTGGTGTTGCCAAACAGATATGCTTACTGTAGTGGAAGTCGACGGAGTAACTAAAACAAGACACGAGCATCTATACGGGAAGCTGCCGGGCTGGGTTGATCACATGCAAGTGGCAGGAATGGCGGGAGTAGTGAAGACTCACACGAGAACAACCCCCAAAGTAAATGCCAGAGGAAAGACGTGTTTGTTTGTGTGTTATGCTACCGATCATGCAAAAGATTGCTATGTAATGTATGATCCAGGGACCAGGAGAACTCTTCATTCACGAGATGTACTGTGGTTGAACCGCATGTACTTTCCAAGCCGACCACGGCCAGGGGCCGAAGTAACTGTGGAGGGCATCAGTTTGCCAGCCGGAGAGACAGAAATTTGCGACGATGAGACCCAAGAGGATGGTACAGTTGTGAGTATTGATTCCGACTCATCCAGCGAGCCGGAGACCGAGACCCAGGACCAGGAGGAATCGCAAGGGTCTTCAGTAATTATGTTTGAAGATGAGGATGAACACTTGTTCGATATGCATGAGCAAACGAATAGCGATGAAGGAAGCAGGGACTCTCATCGACACGAAGGGAACCATCGAGTTACCAGGAGCGGACGAGTTGTTCGAGCCCCCATGCAGCATGATGGGACTAGACCTGGGGAGGTTGTGGCCTTGCACATCGAGGACCAGCTGATTAATGAAACATGTCTGCTGGGTGTGGAGGAGAACAAACATCTGCATAATCATCACATGGATGAGGGGATGAGAGAGGAAGAATTTGTACTGTTTAGTTTAATGAAGGGCGGCAATAGAACATACAGCTCTGTTGAGCATGCATTTGGGTATGTAGACACGAGGGGAGACTACCGGCTCGTGGCCGCGGCCCTAGAAGACAATGTAGGAGAACTGTATCTTGTGGGAGCCACCGGCCACAATTATGGAAACACGGCTGAACTTAATGTAATGAATTATAAGCAAGCAATGGCCACTGTAGACAGGAAGGAATGGGAAAAGGCCATCAAAGTGGAACATGATAAGATGGTTAAATACAATGTGTTTCGAGTCGTGAAACCAAAGGAAATTCCAAAGGGAACTAAGCTCTTTGATAGTACATGGGCCATGAAGAAGAAACCAGATGGAACCTTTAGAGCCAGGAATGCCATAAGAGGGTTCATGCAGGTCGATGGAGAGCATTATGACAGTAATGATAAATCCTCACCCGTGGCAACCGAGGTGGGCATACGAGTATGCTTTGTTTTGACCATTGTAGGTGCTTGGTATCAACACCTTGTCGATGTAGAGGGAGCCTTCCTAAACGGAGTATTTCAGCGCCCCGACAAGCATAAAATCTTCATGAAAGTCCCAGAGGCCTACAGGAAATGGTATCCGTCCTGGGCAACTTTTCTGCTGTTGAAAACACAGTATGGCACCGTCCAAGCCGCGTTACAGTATTACAGGGAGTGTTGCAAAGCCCTCGCATATTTAAAGTTCGAAAGGAACGCTGCGGAGCCATGTGTATTTTTCAAGTGGAAAGCCAAGCAGCTGGTGGTGTTTGTACTGTGGGTAGATGACTGCTGTATATCCGGACCAAAAGAGCTGGTGTTGCAGGAAGTGAAGGACTTCACGGGACTCTGGGATTGCAAAGATCTTGGAGAACTGAAGGAATATGTGGGATGTAGAGTGGAAAGAACAAAGGACTGGATCCGACTCACTCAGCCGGTTAAGGTTCAGCGATTCATCGATGAGTTCAACTGCAAAGGAAATAATGGGCCCAGTCAAAGAGCTCCATCAACCCCAGCAGAGCCGGGAAGTGTGCTGGAATTTAACAAGGAAAGCGAGCCAGCGATAAACAATAAGAGACAGACGAAGTATCGATCTGGCGTGGGGATCTTGTTGCACATGATGCGTTGGAGCAGGCCAGACGTGTTAAACGCAGTAAGGGAACTGTCCTCATATATGACCACCGCTAGTAAAGCCTGTTACAAGGCTCTAAACAGAGTGATGAATTTCATTGTGGCAACCAAGGAGAAAGGCTATATGTTCAAGCCAGCAAGTCCGGGAACTTGGGATGGGCGTAAGAACACCAGAGTCTTCGAGATCAAAGGACAATGTGATTCGGAGTATGCCAAACACAGCAGTAGGCGAAGCGTAAATGCGGGAATCACATACTTGGAAGGGGCAATAGTTAAACAGTTCAGTAAAATGATGCCGATTGTGGCATTATCAACTACAGAAGCAGAACTGTATTCAGCTGTACTTACAGCACAAGATATGATGTTCGTGTATCATATAGTGACCAACCTTGGGCTTAAGGTAAGACTGCCAATGAAACTGTACTGCGACAACAAAGGAGCAGTAGCGTTGGCCAACAATTGGTCGGTTGGAGGAAGGACCAGACATGTAGACGTTAAACAGCATTTCTTAAGGGAACTAAAAGAACGTGGGTTCATTGAAGTTCTGTGGAGGTCTGGGGCACAGATGACCCCCGATATGCATACAAAGAATGTTTCTAAGGCGTTATTTGATCAGTACAGTAAGGAACTTGTGAGCTAATCAAATAAGGGAAGTGTGTTGGAAACAGTGATGATAGAGTGGTCGCCAGGCGTGCTAACGAGCCAGGCGATGAATGGAACTAATTCAGTGTCATCCAAGTTGAACAAGTAGCAAGGAGCTGGGTTCAACATGAAGGATACTGATAAGGATGAATAGACAGCTGGAAGCATATGATGAGCTAAAGGACAGCTGTTTAGGATAGAGCTGGCGAGCCAGGTGACAGAAGGGATCCTCATGAAGTGTTGAAGTTGAAGAGATCTTGATAACCGAGGAGGATCCAATTGAAGCTTTAGAGGTGTTTAGGTGTAACAATGAGCAAGAGGAGTGAATTCCGGACAGAGGCCGTGATTATTAGAGCTAGGAGGAGAGCTCATATTTCGAGAATAAGGAATAGAGAATAAGATAGAGAACACTTATTTGACTCATATAATTTCCCCATTTCAACCATCTCAACACATCCTTCTACTCGTACAATGGCATCATAAAGTGCGTCCTTTGCCTCAAGGATTGATGCCAAACGGCATTAGTTCTCGTTCGAGCACTTCGTAGAACGAGTACGTTCAGTACGCGATTATCCACGTCTGAAAAAAAAATTTTTAGCACCCTGTTCTGAACATGCTTCTACAGTACGGTACCAGGTACCCGGTACGACTCATGGTCCCTAGTAGAGCGTACCCGTACTCTTACGTACTCGTACCAACACTTTTCCATTCCTCCCCACGACGACGATTCGCTCTGCTCTTTGGCTTTGACTCCGACGGTATGATACCGTAATGAAACTAGAGCTATATCCCCAACACAACCATCCGCTCAAAGCATTTCCACTCGTAGAAACAGATTGGTTCCATCCCGCATCTTGGATTACAAATTGTTGCGACAAACTCCGATTGATCCAAAGCTCACGACTTGTTCCACGTGCGAAACGTAACGAAACGAATCGACGTGCCCGTCTGCGAGCGATCGGCATTGTGGCCACCATAGTTCTAAAGCAACCACAGAATACGTCGTCGACTCCAGATCAGAACACAAACCTTACATCCGTACAAACGCAACGCAGCACAAAATACCACAACACAGACAGCCATGTCGTCTATGAATTTTAGCACATCGAAGCAATACGTCCGTCCACCGCAGCGGGGGATATTCCCCCTCGACCACGATTCGGAATGCAGGCCGTTTATGGAAAAATACTTGGAGTGCCTTAATGATTCGTCACAGGTTCACCACAAGTGCAAGCCTCTTTCCAAGGACTATCTCCAGTGCCGGATGGATCGGCAATTGATGTCCAAAGAAAATCTCGACGATGTGCGTATCGTTTCGTTGCGTTGATTTTCTTTTAGGTTGCATTCTCCCATTCCGTGCCGTGATATGCCATGCCTATTGCTTGCGGTCCCCGGTCGGTGGAAGGATAGCTGATCCTGCACCTTGCTGCACAGTGCTCCCGCGGATCTTCCGTTCTTGCCCACATGAGCTGTTTGTTCAACAATCCTATCTTGTCGTCTTTTGTTCTTTCGTTTGCTAACCATTGCTCGCACCCTCGCATCCGCATCTGCACACCAACCAAACGCAACTTAACGCAACGCAACACCCCTAGATGGGCTATGCCAAAAACAAGGACGTCGTTGGGGCAAAGGAATACGACAAGGCGAAAGAAAAGGCAGGATTCATTGCGGGGAAACACATCGAGAAATCGTCCAAGTGGTGGTTTCAGTCCTACAAAGCCAAATGGGTCGGCGACGATAAGGAGGGAGAAGCAAAATAGACAGCGCAGAGGCGTGGCACCCCTTTTGTTCAACCAATATTTTTGATGAAATGATACTTCTACGCACTACACAATCGAAAGAAAGAATTTTCATCGACACGGTGATTGACTCTACCCCTTCGTCGATCACGCCGATAATTGGTTCAGACGCGTATTGCATACGTCACTCCTTGTTTACAGTAAAATATTCAAATTATAATTATAGTACGGTTTGTAGACAGTTGTGAAAAAATCGTGCTAAGCAAGAAACATCCATCGGTCTTGCTGCACTGTGCTCAAAAGAAACCAACCAGGGGGTCCGCGGACTGCCCCTGCTGCTGCGACGAAGACGGCGGTGGTTGGTTGGTAAACGCAGAAAAAGGGTCTACGGGTGCCGCTGCCGGTTGTGGTGCAAACGCGTTGTTGGGAGCTTGGTTTTGAAAACCCTGCTGTGTGCCAACGCTGTGGAAGGGTCCTGCGTTGTCCGAGTAACCGCCGCTGGCAGGCGCAGAAGCATTCGAAGGAACAATGTGCGAAAATATCCCGCTGCCGGCGACCTGCACCATCGCGGGAGATTGTTGGGTGGTAGTGGGAAACGGCGCCGATTGTTGCGGCGTGGTCGTGGCACCATATCCCGTGTTTTGGTTCGTTGCAGAAAACGGAGCATCGTTCGTCTCCATAAACGTCGATGCAGCGACAAAGGTTGAGTTGGCTCCCGTCGAATTCATTGTTGCGTTTGCAGGTACCGCCGATGGCTTTTGAACAATGCTAGGGGTCTCGGAAGAAACCCGCCTGCCCCCGAGCTCGACGATTTCGTCTTCTTTTGCTTTTTTTTGCTGCTCGAGTGTCGTCAAATCCTGTCGGCAAGTATCATAGACGTTGCGAATCTGCCGATCGGTTGGCAGAAAACCTTCCTTGTCTTCGGCTTCCGCAAAGGCATTGAACAGGGCCACCCCAAAGTCCTCCTTGTGTCCCTTGATCAATCGGTCCGTCACGGTCAATTCAGTTTTGATCTTGGCCTCGCCACCATGGTACAGCCCCGCCTTTCCGATGTTGAAGAGTTTCTGTCCATAGTTTTCGGCCTTGGTCGGAAATGCCGCGGCGCGGTCTGCTTCCGCCTTGGCCAAGGCTTCCTTTTGTTTGACCCGCCTGGCGGCCAGGGCCTGGATTTCCTTTTGCGCCAGGATGATGTTTGGGCGTACCAGCTCGGTCAGCTTGTCGCTCGCGGCATAAAAGTCAGCAGACTTCGTGAGCGGACTCAAGTAATCGTACATGGCTATTCCGAAAGCTCGTTTCCTGGAGTCCATCGAGTTGTCGATCATGAGTATGTCCTATGGTGTTGCGATTTGGAGGGCATTGAATTCCGTTCCGTTGCGTGGTGTTTGTTTAGTGCATGATACATTATGCGGTGCCAACCGATGAAACAAAAGAGCAATCGGTCTGGTTAGTTCGTGCGAGAATCAGTGACGATGCAGGACAGAATGGCCAAGGAACAGCGGAAATATACACATCGCACGCGAGTGACAAAAGCTATGACCTCGCTCCGCAAAAAGCGAAGCCGGATCTAAATTCTTCAGATTCCCAGGATTCTCGATTGCGTCCTCGCTTACCGCCGTCAATTTCGCCTGCTTCGCCTTGTTGGCGGCGCTATCGCCCAGCATTTGCGCCTTTGCAGTGATTGCACCCCACATCTTTCTTCTTCGATGTTGTTGCTCGGAACGATCGCTGTTGCGAGGTGTGTGCCCGGTGCAATGCGGTTCGAACGGGATCAACAATTGTTGTTCGTCGCGATTCTTGTTAGAACGACTACTCCTACGAATGTGCCGTTAAAAATTAACCTTCGGTCGACGTCTTCGTACGCTACGTTTACGCTGCGAAACTCCAATCTTTGCGTGGGGCATGAATCTTGTTTAATAGAAGTACATTACCGTACGGTACTGTACTGTACTATACGTAGTACAGTAACACGTACAGAAAAACAATACTGTAGTGCGAAGAACGTACAGAACATACCATACCGTACTGTACGGTATGTTACTTGTACCGTAGCTTTGTCAGGTGCAACACAACCTGTTTGCTTCATACAGGTACGTACGTGCACGTACCTTCAATAGTCAATAGCCTACTGGAAAATAAGTACGCTACGTACGTACGATTTACGTTAGCTAAAATAACATCATTAAGGTTAATGTGAGAAAAGAGGCGACAGATTACGAGCTCTCGTAGTGCATACTCGTACCTATGGTACCAGTAGTACGAGTACTACTGTATCTGGTACAATTGACGTACATCGGAGCTATCATTCGAGCACCATTCGATATCATTGCGACGAGGAGAAGCAGAGCCCGCGCCCATTCCATCTCTAGACAACGAAACAGAAACAAACCAAATCGTAGAACAACGCGCCCACCAACTCTTTTCACCAAAACACAGCAGCACCATTGGCGACAGCAACTGCTACAGCTACAGCTATAGCTACAAATCAGAATGGCGAAGCATCTAGCCCGCATCCACGGAACGGAAGAAGACAAGGTCAATTGCCCCTTTTATTTCAAGATAGGAGCATGCCGCCACTCCGATAGGTGCAGCAGGCTGCACCACCGACCTGCCTTTTCGCCCACAATCCTAATAAAGCACGTATATCGCCATCCGGTGCGCGAGGCAGAACTCCAACAGACAGCGACCGGGAACAGCAACCCTTCGAGCAACATGACACACAAAATCGACAGAGTGAAAGCCTACGAAGACTTTCTCACGTTTTACGAGGACATGTTTCTGGAACTCTCCAAGTTTGGTCGGATCGACGAACTCAACGTCTGCGACAACCTCGGCGATCACATGATCGGACACGTATACTGCAAATTCTTCAACGAGGAAGACGCCAGCGACGCCAAGGAGGCCATGAACGGAAGGTTCTACGACGGGAGGAAGATGGATGTGGAATTCAGCCCGGTCACGGATTTCCGAGAGGCGCGCTGCCGCGATTTCGACGAGGAGGTTTGCAGTCGCGGGGGCTTTTGCAACTTTCTGCACGCCAAGCCGGTTCCGATGCCGCTCGTTCGCAGCCTCGAGGCGGAATCGGAAGCGGATCGCCGCCGAAACAAAGAAGACCGAAGGGACCGGGAACGAGAAGAGAGGCGGGCGCGAAAGAAGGAGCGCAAGGAACGAAAGCGWTCGCGGAGGGAAAAGTCGTCCCACCGAGATCGGGATCGCGGAAGCAGGTCTTCCTCTTCCAAGCACGACCGCGATCGAAGCCCGTCGAGGTCGAGGTCGCGGTCGCGGTCGAGATCGCCGGAGGGTGGTGGCGGCGCATCGGACGATGACTACAGCGACAAATCCAACTAAATCCGAACTCTCATTGGCTAGACTGGGCGGGTCATGGCGAAAATGAAACGCATCGAATTGGAGAAATTTGGCATCGATCAGACTGGCGTGTTGATTGGAAGCGAACCGTACCTTCACAAAATCCATGGTTCTGYTTCCTTTTCAATGGCGATATAAATACAAAGGGGAAGGCTAGCATCAAGAATCGATTGGTAAATCATACCCATCGAGCACTTGTAATTAGATTCCATGTACAGACTTTCTTTAACATCAAAATAACCAAACTACTACCCGTAGTTGTTACATTTTCAAAATTGCTTGTACGAGTATGATTATATTATACTTACCAATAATTTTATTCGAATCTACTAACAACAAACATGCAATGTTCACATAGTAGCAGAGAAGCAAAGAGAGAAGAAAAGAGACTTAAAGAGAAGCACCACGAACATCATCAAAATGTGAAGGTTAATAGAAAACACAACTTTTTCATCATGGATGATCACTAAAGCTTCACACTACACACCAGAAGAGCAAGTGATAAGAACAAGAACAAGAACAAGAACAAGAAGAAGCACCAAGAAGAAGACCTTATGAGGAGGAAATGTTCTTAGTAGTGTTTCTTGTTGGATAGTTCAAAGCCATGATCTATCACTTATAGCATTGGGTAGATTTTGATGTCTTGAGTGTGTTAAAGTACGCCTTCTAGGAAGTCAACCAAGCAGCAAAAGTTGAACCCTAGATGGCTTGCACGTCAGTGACCCTCTTCAATTAGTATCGTACGGTACGATATTGTACCGAAGTGATCGTACGAGGTTTAGTCAGGTTTAGTCTGGGTTCGTATTTCGTATGGTACGGAGAATACCTATCTACCATAGTAAGACGATCGAAGAATTACTGAAAACTGAAAATGGTTCTCCTCTACTTTTTGTTATTCTTTGTTCTTACTTATTCTTCTTTTAAGTGTAGTGACACGTACTTGTGCCGGGGGTATTATTGGACAGCCTCTAACACATTGTCCGTTTTTCAGTTAGGACTTATTACAGCCAATCAGAAACCTGATTCGCATCCACACGTGTGACTTGCAATGTTATTTTTCCTCCGTTCGGCTCAACGCAACGGAATTTTTTTCACTAARTACATGAATGCGCGTTAGTGCGTCAAAAATTATTGTAACGCTCGAAAGTGAGATGGTACCGGTAGAACGAAACGAACAAAACAAACGACCCATCATTTGAAAACCAATTCTGTATTTACTCGTGCCCTATCGATGTCGATAAGAAGGAATCAAAGCCCGAATAATCGAAGCGYATGCTACTGATTGTGTTGCACTGCACCACTCCAAGCCATAGGGACAACGACAACGTTCCCACCTTCTGTCCATCGGTGTTCTGATCAAAGCTGTCCAAGTTAGAGGCAAAAAGAAGGGTACGAGCATACAAAACCAACACCATGGAAGACAACGAATCATCTACAAACCGGGATAGCAGCCACGTCGTCGACGACGACGATAGTGATGACGAAGATTTATCGTATGTGTCGTCAGAGGATGAAGATGAATTCTGGGAAGAAGTCGACACGAACGATGACACAAACGACGAAACAACCGAGGTTTGCAGCGATGTCTACGATCATGAATTTGTTGAGGATGACGAAATTGAATACGAACATGTAATAGACGACGACACCGACAACGATTTCATCGATGACAACGGCCATAATCTTGAGCYGCTGGGGAGCTTGGAACAGATGCGAAACACAAGGGATGACAAAAGCCATGAACATATTGGAAACAACGACGACTCGTCTATAATAGATAAGAGCTGCAGCAGCAGCTATACCGATGCTTCCTACGATGACGCGGTCAGTTCGARTCTCCCTCCTTCAGACTTTGACATGGGAAGCTACTCACGACATTCGCTCGACGATGATGCAATCGACCCAAAAGACATCGAACTCGAGTGCCGAAAATTGATTGCTGTAGTGCACCCAGGTCTAGAAGACAGTGAGACCATGCTTCATGGGTGTGATTTGCAGAATTTGTACAACAATCTGAAGCATCAATACTACCACATCTTACGACACAATACCCCGAATGATAGCACCAATGTAGAAATGGTCGACTATGACTACGACGATGATGACGAGCATGAATTTACAGACGAATCTTATGAATTATCTGAAATGGATGATGTTGCCAACCGCCCAGTCCAACGAGAATCACCGATATACAATGATGATACATCTTTGCCGAAGGATGCTGCTTCTGCTAATCCTAAAACCGTGAAAGTTGAAAAATGGCTCGAGCGGAACAAAGATGATCCAGAAGACTATGAATATGCATGTCGTCTACTATGCCACGCAATGTATGGAGAGGATGATCCGGAGCACGACATAGAGTCCATGTTGAGCAGATCATCACACGTTGATCTCTATCGGTATCTCAAACAACRGTACTGGTACCTCGCCCATACAAATCAATTGAGTACTACACGGAATGGTGATAATGATAACGATATTGCTTCAAAGCAAGATGGTATGCCGGCGGATGATGGATTTGTCAAAAAATCAAAACGGCAGAGGATTGATAGCAATGAAGGCAACTCGACCAATAATAAAGATCTCGATACCTCGTCGGATAATACAGGAAAGCAACCCACCAAAACGAGAGTGCATGCTCTAGCTTCACTATATGCTGCTAGGTCGAAAGAACACGCCGAGCAAGATCAGAGGTTAGTCAGCGAGGGAGKAGGAGGAGGAAGAGCGAAAGAGAAAGAGAAAGGGTTAGTGCACAACAAATCATCATGTACAGTTGAAAATAACGATGAGAGTGATAATAAAAACGCCGAAACGAATGTTGAATCAGGTCCTTCGTTACAACCCTCAAGTCCTGAACAACAACAAGAAAACCTTTCGTTGGAAGACGAAAACTCTCATCTTTCTTCTCATGAGGAAGTCTTACTTCGGCAAGATGGCACGAGCGCACAATCTCAGTTGATGGATACCAATGATGGGTCTGTTAGCCATATTTCCTCTGACAATCACAGATCGTCGCAGATACGTGGCGAAGAAGAAAGCGACGTGGAGGATCATCATGCCAGTAGGGATGAGAATGACACTTCTTTCAAAACAGAGAAATACGTTTCGTATTCAAAAGAACACGATGTGCTTTTTGATAGGCAGGAAAATGGGGAAGATGCTGATAAAGATCAATTGTTCCATTTGGAGTCGGCAGCTAGGAAAATCAACGGCGATAAGCCTCCGAAGAACGAACTGGAAGACCTGGAAGAATTTGAATCTCGAGAGCAGCAACAAGGTGACGGAATGATGCATATTGAAGAGGATGACAATCGATCAGGGCTTACACTTGTAGTTCTTCTTTCCGAGTTCTCCGGGACTCTTCAACAACGATCTGAACAAGAGAGAGCCATGTCTATTTTAAGGGGAAGTARCATACGGAATATTGAGGAAGTTGATGGTTCTCTTAAGTCTAATAGAGACCGACGCAATAAGCTGTTCGAAGTCAGTGGTGAAAGAGGAAAATATCCCCAATTTTTTCTACAGAAGGAAGAAAAAATGGTGATTTACCTTGGAGACTTTGAGTGGCTTACTTATATGAATGATATTGGATCACTCACCAACGATACCATCTACAGAGTTTTGGACTCAGCCCACCCCCTTACTGAAAGGAATGAGATCCAAGATGAATCTGAGAGAATAATTGAAAATCAATGCAGCGAAAAAAATCCTTTATTCCTAGAGAGAGGTGTCGCTTCGAGGATACCCCAACAACAAATACGATCCATTTCTGATGATTCAAGTAGTGAAGAAGAARGCGAAAGCAGTACTGAAAAAGATTCTTCATATTCCAGTGAAGAGAGCGAAACCACGTCGTCTTGCAGCGATGATTCGGAAAGTACAATGGATTTCGATAATAGCATGAATGGAGGAAATCCACCATCGATCGAGAAAGATGCTGACATCACGACTACAATGGCTCCGATTGTCGATTCCGAGAGTGAAAAATTAACACACACTGACRTCCCAAGTTCTGTTGATGACGACAACCAGATTCCAGCCACGCATTCGTCGTTAAATGACAATGAAAAGGAATGTTGCGAAGAAGAAATATTGATTCCGGATGAGGACAGCGCTGGTTCGCACAGTATAAAGGACGAAAAGAATAAAAATCGAGAATACGTCCTCCTTTCCGACGACTCGTCTTCATGTTCGTCACTGTCCGAAGCTGAAAATGATCAGCCTATGACTCCTTCGAATCAGCTACCAGATGAAACACCGAATGAACATAGTGATATTGAAGTACCCAAAATTGATCCGAAAGAGCTAGAATGGAGAAAAAAGAAAATACAAAATGCGCTTATGGAAATTATCAAAGAGACAGAAAAGAACGAGCTTGAAGACATAATTCCACAGGAAATAACTGAGGCTCTGAATGCTGCGTCGCTGAAGACTGCTTTTACGAGGAAATACTATGATTCAAAAAAAGAAAAATATGTTTATTATCCCTCTGTTTCACAAGCAGTGTTCAACTTCTCTCTCATTGAAGAAGCTGAGCACCATTTCAATGGGGAGATTCCTTTTAATATCTCGACAGCTCTTTGTACCATTGTAGCTGCACGTCTGAAAGGAAATATTGATGAAGTGGACGACAGTGATAGCATTGTGAAGGGATCAAGTGTAAATGTGATTCTTCCCGATGAACAAAATAAAACCSCACCGCAAACCACCGAAGAATCGATAGCATTGAACGATGYACGTAATGTACGCGAAGAACAGAATACGAATGGAATATCGGCAACAAAATCTCAAGCTGAGAACAACGAAAGAATGAAGAAGATCAAACACGATTTATTTTCTGTCATAAAACACGCTGAAGCAACTGATTTACGCGAATCTATTACAGATGAAGTATTTGAGGCTTTAATGCGAGCCGCAAACAGAAACGTGTTTGTGAARAAATATTTCGATGTTACTACGGATCAATTTATTTATTATCCTTCAATTACGAAGAGGATTCTCGACAATTCTCTTTTTGAGGAAGCAAGACAATTTTGTTCTGCAGGCGATCTCCCTTTGAAATATGTATCAGCTCTGCACGCAGCAGCAGAAGTCAAATCGAGTAAAAGCACTGAAGTGAATGAACTTGATGATTATGTGATAAATATGTCGGTAGATGTTGCTATTTGTGACGATCAGGAAGTCGGTGAATTTTTTAGAAATACAAAGTCTTCTTTGACGACTGCATCAACAGCTTCATCACTGAATGAAATGAKTTCATGCGTTCCAGAAGTTATTGCGACCAATGCAAATGATGAATATAGTTGTAGTGATACTAGCTCACCACCGAAMAATGACTCTTCAAAAGAAGATTYGAAGARTGATGTAACCAAAGCAGAAGAAGGTACCGGTGGATCTTCGGATAWYAAAATATCCGAGGGTCGATCCCTAGATAACGGCAATGGTGAAGAAGCTAGTCTAGAAGAAATGCCGCAGATTGTTGAAGTTGARAKTCGAGTTGAATCAAAGGAAATGGTGGAGAATGCAAAGGCCTTARAAGAGAAAAAGAATAGGGCCATGATGAAAGCGATTGATGAAGCTAAACGCCTCGATGAGAGTCACAGAATGGCYGAGGCCCAGCTGAATGAAGAATCGTTGCTCCGCAAGGCAAAATATGAAGACGATAAGCGAGCCATTGATAAAGCATTGGTCAATCTAGAATCGAATTTTTCGTCACAAGTGAAGCGTTTAGAAAAGGAAGTAAACGAGTGCAACCAAAAACATCAGACGGAAAGGAAGCGGATAGAAAAGAAGAGAAACAWGATCGAGCAACAATTYCTTGCAGATGAGAGAATATTGATGGATCAAACAAAAATACTTCTTGAAAAGTTAACTCGAGTTGTCTCTATTCTCGAGTCGGAGCGACAGAATGCGGATGCAGATCAGGAGATCGACAGCAAAGAAGYAGCTAYAGAAACAAGTCGGGGCTGGTTCGGTGGAATTACAAAGAAGAGCGAAGAACAGCTCAGGAGGCAAGAAAAATCAAAGAAATGGAAATTGAGAGAAGAGGAGCTCGAGAAGGAAATCGATGACATCAAGGCTGAACTAAATGTTGTCCAAAAAGRAGCAAAGGTTAAAAAACGCCGCGTAAACAAATTGAAAGAAAAGCTTGAGAATGAGTCTTGTAAGAACGAAGAAATTGCAGATGAAAATGAAGAACGACTGCAACAAGAAACCGACGAAATCCAGAAAACGTTCAATAGAGAGAAAGAAGGTTTAAAGATAGCGATGTGTCATTTGGAAAATACTAGAGCTGAAGACGAAGAATGGTTAGCATCATCCAGGAAAAAGTTGTATGATAACTACAACAAATGTCAGGAAACACTGAAACGCGTCAGCAGTGAACTTAAAGAAATCGAACACGAAAAAGAAGAAATGTATCAAAGRAACGCCATCGCTCTGAAAGAAAAKCGCGTSCACGAAGAGAGTGAATTGTTATCTGAACTAGAACCCTCTGRACACAAAGAGGTAGAAAATGATATTGATGCTTCATTGCAAGSCACTGRGGAAACACCCGACAAAATATCTGGGAGCTACCGAGATTTGTCTGAGCAGGAACAAAGTGATTCRGAAAAAGATGTAATGGAAACCAAACTGCCTGYAGGATTGCAGCAAATAGAGGAGAAACCCGTTAAAATGCAATTGATGCATGGTGAAAAAGAAACTGACAAAGCTAAGAACGTAATGGCTGGCATTTCCAACCCTGATGTGCGGTTTGATCAAGTTACATGCGTCACGAATACATCAAATGTTTCCGAAAACAACGTAGATGTACCT